GGTTCCCAAAGCCAATAACAGTGACAGACGGCCGAAACGCACTGGTGACAGCACTGGATACCGGACCTGAACGACCACAGTAGCTCCAGTCCACCCTCCGTGCAACCGGCAACACCGCAACACATCGCTAGCCTCCTACCCAGCAACCACAAGATCACAAGCAGAAATAATGACGCGCAACCGAAATCTTACTAGAACTGCAGATGTCACGAACTGACCAAACGGGAAGACGAAGGACTGGCGTAGCATATACGACTGCTTGTTCCTCGTCTTGCCCAACGTCTGAAAGTTGCGCCTAAAGCTTTTTTTTTTTTAAAAAAAACACACACACTGCACAACCCTTGGATGTCATGGAAGAACAAACTATTTCGGAAAATAAATATTTTTTTTTCATAGTGCACTACCAAAGCAGGACAGTTGACATCCCATTGCAATTCAATTTGAATACCCAGTGTATTGCCGTGAAAACAAAATTTCAACAGATTGTGAAGACTACAAACCTTGTGATTGCAAAGAATAATACACCACACGCAAATCGTAGAAAAGGGAGAAGAAAACAGGACACTAACCTTGTTCCGGATTTCTTTTAAAATGTATTTTCATTGGTATCCATGCCTAATTTCCAGAAATGTGACAGTATAGTCTCGATTTCTTTTCTACTAGTTTTTTTCTTGGTTTCAGTTTGCCTTCTGGGTGATGTAGTCATTATGTCCTTGTCGCACAGGGTATTTTACTACATTTCCCATGAGCGTGTGGCGAGTGCGACGCGGTCCGGGCTGAATACAACAGACGGAACTAGCGCGCCATCTGGTGTTACAAAACGCTACGCTCCGAAAACTCAGTCGGAACTACTGTATTTTATCAATTGAAATAACAGTAAAATAAAAGAGCACAATATCACAACATTTGAGCTGCTTTCATATCATATTCATAACGTAGCCGTGCGCACGCAAGGCAGGCTGGGAACGGCGGCTGAGGGGCGGGACTTCCCGCCTGTATATAGTGGGAGGAGGGCTGGAGACGCCCTCTTCCCCCATGTGTCTGTGTAGGTGGGGGGCGGTGCCGTAACCCCCCTCAGGGTCTTTAATAAAGGCTTGTTTATTTCCGTCGGCGAAGCCCGTGAGCGTTACTATATTGGACGACCCCAGACAATTATCATGTAGCTTTTCTTTATGGTACAATTTCATACACCTAAATTCACATTAAACGAAATTCACATTAGTCTCATTGCGGTGCGAGACTACTCTATTAGACCACCTTCAGATTCGGAACTTTTATCAGATTTTGGTTTATTTCAAATAGGGTTAACAGGACGACATCTGAGTGGGAAAAACACTCCAAAACTGATATTCTACTCATTTTTTTTTATTTTACAAACATCATGGTTTTATAAAACCCCCGGTACACATTTGGAAAGGAAGCCGAGGGGACATGGGAGTTGTCTCGAAGGAATTAAGAGCTACATCGCTTGCCCCCACCTCGGATTGAACCCGGGACCTTCCAGTCAGAAGCTAGACGCCCTTGCCGTCTTAAGGTACCACGGCTCCCGTTTTTCCAAAACTGACGTTAAAAGAGGACGGCAGCCAGCACCCCTCATATCAGAAAGACCATCTAAAACATTTGAAATGCCAAAGGTATTTTTATCCTTTATGCAAAAAGCAAACATAAAAGGTCAAGTATGAAGACTGGGAAGAAACAAGGTAAATAAAAGGAGCACCACAGAAAAGAAGAAGTTTCCTTTTAATTTTTAATAGAACTGGTGAGTTGCACTTCACTTCTGCTTCCTTGTTTCAATATGGAGAGAGCAATACAGTCCCTGTTAACTAAGCAAACCGACAGAAGGGAAAACCTTCAAGCCAAAGATTCCTTCAGTACCTGGCTTCATAATTCTTTAAAAAAATAATTACAAATAAATACTGTATAGAATATCTCCCCATAGAAACATATACAATAGTTTCTTGAGGAACTAGTATATTTTCAAAAAGCTAAAGAGTAATTGATGCATAGGACAGAGAAGCTGCCCTTAATGGATTCAGTAGTGAAAAGTGGGTGATACAAGCATTTTCTCTCTGACCTAACCAGTCATTACTCATATTGCTATGGAATGCAAAGAACTTTAGAGAGAAACCAAGACTGAGAAGACAACTCTACACCCTGGGACTACCAATGAATACAACACAGCATGCATTCTCTGCAGCACCACATTAGAATAAATACAGAACAATTTCCTGTGGTTCTCAAGAGGCACATTACGGCACAGAGAGAAAATAACAAAGACAACAGGTGGCATACAATTTCACAATATGTCATCATGAGATAAGAACAAAAATAAAGGGTCTGTATACTGATGATAGTTTGGACAAATGTACAGTAAATAAATAACAGAAAATTGTCATAACCTTCACAGAGACAGATTGCTTTGCAGAATTATAGAGGATAACAGAAGTGATTGTTCTCTTATCAAATCTAGATGGTGTTTCATAAAAATAAAGATTTTACTAGATTAAAGTTGTTTAAAATTACTACAGTTAACAAAATAAAAAGTATGAAAAGCAGAAACAACAAATATGAACGTGGGATTTTACATTTGTATCCAAATTAAAAAACAATAATCAAAGCAGACAAATAGAAGTCTTAACACTGAGAGTCCTATTACTCACTGACGTCTGAGTTAGGCACCTAGTCCGATACAATTAAAACTTGCAGTGCACACCTAGATATTTGTTAACGGAGTAAAAAATTCCATCAGTCACTGTAATCTGCATATATTTCAATTAAGATCAATATGCAGAAAATCACCACGGAGTAAAAAACATTTCAGCTTGGAGAGCAAACAAGCCTGAATGAGATAAAAGGGCAAAGAACAAGACACTTGTCCTATCTATAATAATTGCACGTCCTTCTCTGCACTCATTTGAATTAATGAAATGAAAGCCCTTGATCTTAATAACTCTATAACAAAATACCAACATAAAAAAAACACGTTTATCAAAATCAATGGAGATGGGGTGGGGGTTACACTTTTGGCAGGCTCCCTGGAGGTGCCAATATAATACCAAAGACATAGAAGAGTCCCATTAAGAGATTGAGCTTTGCAGTCTTTTGGGGAATCTTGGAGTAGCACTGGCTCCTGAACTGCTTCTCCAGGGGGAAGGCCATGGGCAGGGTCAGCAGGGGCAGCGCCATGCTGATGGTGCAGCGCGTGGCGAGGATGGAGAACAGGATGTAGGGCATGAAGAGCAGCAGGTTGTAGAGCATGTAAGACAGCGCGGGCCCGAGGAGAATGGCCAGCGTCACGATGCCCGCCTGCTGGTCCGAGTCCATGTCCCGCGTGTTGTTGCTGTGCAGGATGGCTTCAGTGTTGAGGGCCAGCGGAATGGCGTAGAGCAGGGGCAGGACGGAGAGGTAGCCCACCTGCGTGGCGTGGGCGAACATGACGGCCAGCGGCCCGAAGGTGATCAGGATCACGACGTCGCCCAGGGCCACGTACTTCAGCCCGATACCTGCGGAGGAGAAGGAAGAGCTGAGACCTGGGTTAACGCTCAGGAGCAGCGGGGACACGTGGCACGGCGAGGCAGGCACAGCGTGCGCCGCACCTGTAGCCACGGATAAAATAACAGGGTCCAAACCATCCATAAAGGCAAATTTAAAACTACTTCCAAAAAAACAGCTCGAGATTTTTAAAGCAGCAACATCTTTTCAAGTCACTATTCCACATCACGAGGATAAAAGTGTTTTTTTTTTCCCCCAAAAGGGAACTCATAATGCACTATTGCTACATGACAAATTGTGGGTAATTCACCTCCGGTGTAGAGGAAAGAGCTCGACAGGCCTCCAAAATATATAAGAGCCAGGTGTTCCAGCTTCAGAGTGGACAGAAAATACAGGCAAGTTGCACACAAACATCCCAGGGAGTATAGAACCGCTCCAAACATGACTACATCCTGGGGCTCCAGAATCTGGTCAACCAGTGTCCGGTCATCACTCTTTTTGTGGTCAATCCCTTTGGAGAAGTCATAGTAAGTGTTCACCAAGTTTCCAGCTCCATGAACCACCAGGACGGCCACAGCGCTCACCAGCAGGATCACGAAGTCAAGGGAGCCCTCGGACTTGTAGGCCAGGGCGCCGCCCAGAGCTACCGGAGTCAGAGAGGCACTGAAGCTCCACGGCCTCAGGGCCAGAACGTAAGCAGCGCATTTGTGCTTCATGTCACTTGTCCTGCTGCAGGGTTTTTCCTCCTGGTGGTCCTGGACAAAAACATGTTCCCCCGGATCACCTCCTCCTCCTGCGCTCCGCCCGTTCGGTCCCGCCAGGACAAAAGTCTCTGACGCAAAGCCGGGTTTCTCCCCCTCCGTCATCCCTGCACCCCGAGGATGAACACCGCCGCCGGGAAATAATCACACGTAGGGATCACCTGAAACAAAGAGCCCAGGGACAGAGGAAGGACAAGCAAAGAAATCACATGAGCAAGCTCCAAACACACTGCCCTTTACTTCTTGCCTCTTCACTCCAATTCTGGGCAAATTTAGATTTTCACTACTTAGAAATTACTGGCAAGAGCAAGTAATACTTTAAAGAATCTTCCTAATGGAAACATTTTGTTGTGTACCACTAAAAATACAATTAGAAAACGAGTTTTAGAGAACAAGCATGCATTTTAATATGATTTAAAAATTCTTGAACAATTTAAACTACTTTAGCCCACTGTATCCACATGAATACAAATTTAATAGATCGGAACAGATTTGGGTTTTCGGGTTTCTGCCCTCGCCACTCCCGCCCCAGTTCATTCCTCCACCGCAGGGGCACGAACCCGGGACTAAGGCATCGCTCAACAGGGGTCTTGCCAGCTGAGCTAAAGAAGACCTTCCTCAGCCCAGGTGGCCAAGATCATTGTTGTGCACAGAGGCGTATCCATTTCAATATGTATATATAGGGACAAGTAATAGGTTTATTTCACGCTGAAAAGAGAAGAAAGAAAACACAACGTTTCGGCTGTGGAGCCTTCTTCAGGTGTAAGAAAGACAGGGCAGGCAGCAAAGATAATAGAGCCTGGGAAAACACAAGCCAGGAGAGAGGAGGTGGCAGGAGCAGGGGAGGGGCAGAGTGGCAAACCAAGTGGTGCGAGGTCGAGAGAGGCGAGGAGAGGTGTAAAATGAAACCTACAAATGAACAGAAACTTAGAATAAAACAAGTCTTTCGTTGAAAGAAAGGGGGAAGGTGTGAACCAAGTTTCAGAATCATTTTAGTTTCTGATGACTTTCTGCTATAGAAGTTAAGAAACCATACTTTGAGAAGTATTAATATATGTATAGGCAAGTCAGTAAAGAATGCCACCCAACATCCTTATTCTTAATAATATTATTTTAAAAAAGGCTGCTTCAGTACAGGAATCATTTAACTTTGGGATGAGCAACGCAATCAAGTTCCCTTTTACTATATCCCCTACTGAAGAAAATAAAATAGCAAACGAACAGAGAAAACTATTTGCAAAACAAAGGCGTATTTGTATTTAAGCTACTGTACAAGACATGGACACACAAGCGTATTTCAAAGACATACATGTTGACTGAATACGAAAAATCTTATCTTTTGTATGAGGTTGTGTGAAAGTGAAACAACTACTCCTGAGTGCGTTGGAGAGAGGGGGGAAAAAGTTGAGCTACTTAGTTTCAGGTTAACCTTCCAAAAGCTAAACAAATGAAACGGAGATTGTTATCTGTGCACAGATTTGTGCACAAGTGTTTGACTAAAATTAAAACTAGGCGTTACATGTATTAAAGTTCTCGCTCTGCATGCGGCGTACACCGGCACGACAAATAAAATATCCCGCAACGTACCTGTTGTTTCTGGGTTTAGTCTCTCTAACGCGCTGAAAGTAGCATTCTTCCTCTCCGTCTTCTATAACCGTTACACGGGGACTAATCTTATTTTCGCTACGTGTCAAGTACGAGGATATTTCGTGCAAGCCCTCCACCTGGGCAGCGCCATCTTGTTCCACCGCCCCTTGTGCAACCGAGAAATGTGTCCGACTACCCATCCTGTACCCTTAGTCTCGGTCACCTATTTTAGCAGAACAACGATGCGGTTTTATTCCTTTTGAAAACAATGCCGGGGAAATAAATTATCTAGAAAAGGACATATGTCCCCTAAAGATTGCTCAGCGCTTGTGATCACGCTTAAATCAATCTTAAATCCGACATGTATTTCGGTTTTACTATGTTTTGTTTTCCCAATGATCAGAAAGTTGCTATTGCAGTCGTTGGGCAATAAATGCAATTTAAACATTGGGATTTTCGGCTGCCGCTTCGCTTTTACATATTGTCTCCGATGGCATGAGCGCTGATGTCTTGATTTTTTAATTTTTTTTAACAAGCTTCTTGCTTATATTAAACAGTTGCCATCCAACCAAACTATCCCACACGACAAATGAAAAACCAGCATCCTCAATTTCGTAAATAAAGGCCAAACGTTTTCACATTGGTCCTTTTCTGAAGTTGTTGCAAGTCAATGTTTCGTTTCATTGGATAGCGGGTCCAGTCAATCACTTCCGCGTGTTTTGAATGGGTAGAGTGGTTGTCAATCATCAAATTCTCTTATTTTCATTGGTCAAAATAGAAATCTCTCCAAGGTCTTGGGTCGCCCTCCCAAATTAGGTTGTGATAATCTGAGACTGGTGAGTACTGTTCTTCCTGACTGAAATTATGCGTTTGCTTGGATCATTAAAATAATTTGGTGTTTTTTTGTTGAATAAACGCCAGTTAATTGTGCTTATTGCACTAAGCCTAATACTCAGAGCCTTGGTTTATTTGCATTTAATGATGCGATGTCAGTATTTCAAAGAAGGCTGCTTCAGTACAGGAATCATTTAAGAAAATGCACGACATGGTTTGCAAAGGGACACTGTATTCGTCCACTTTGTCAAAAACGTTAATATCGTTTTAATTCATGCAATACGTTGTGCACCGAAGCCTTTCGTAACACAGTTACACAGTTAAGGACGATCGATGCATTTTTTTAAAAGTGTCGCAATCTCGCTTCAGGTAATATAGCCACTTCGTCTATCTTAGAGTATGTTACTATATAAATTAATTATTACTTTACTTATTGGCATTTTAATTCAAATTAGATTCATCATTACGTTATGCCGCTTTTAATACCTTCTCCCCTTGCTGTATATATAGAAAGTGGACCAAACAGGGTCTTTTTTCAGCGATTTGGTTATGAGCCTGAGGTCCGGCTGTGCAGCAGCAATACAAATTCATTCGTCCATTTTTTAACCGGTTCGTCCAGTTCAGGGTCGCGGGGGAGCTGAATCCCATCTCGGCAAGCACAAGGCAGGGTACACCCTGGACGGGACGAAAATCTATGGCAGGGCACCCACTCACACTAGGGCCGAGTTTCCCAGAAAGCAATTAATCACCGCTATGTCTTTGGACTGTGGGAGGAAACCTGGAAGCATGGTTAAGACATTTATTGCATTTACACACTGCCTTTTGTCCTGGAGGGTCAAAAGCACCGTATATTTTTCCCTTTTATTAAGGTTTATTTCTTGAGTTTTTCTGTAATGGATGTGGTAAATACTGGACTAAAGTAAGGATGTACTTTATCTAGAGTGAACTGGATTGCCAATTGTAACTGCCAATTACTTGTTGTTCCAAGACTCCCTTTGAGGACCCCAGATACGTATCTTTCTTCTGCTCAGGTTCCTTAAATTCCTCACAAAAGGTGTTATAAATGGTCATCTGCTTTTCTTCTATTTTTAAGCAGGAACTGTATAAGAGTTTACATCTGTCAGAGTGGCAGGGAGTGAGCACCAGAGTTGTTGAGCAGGGCATCTGAGAGGGTAGTTCAAGACCTGTAGCTGTAAAAAGTGCTGCTATAGCAGAGTGTGAAGCCCTGTATGGTACCGTACACAGGGAGCAATGAGAGGTGTTGAGTATTTCACGTGTAGGGCTTTAAAAGTTAACAGTGAAAGTTTGAACTGAAAGTGCTGGGTAGCAGGGGCTCCAGTGAAGACGTGTCAGAATTGGTCACCTTTGAGCATGTTAGAAGCCAAGCAGCTGAGTTTTGGACCGGATGAAGTTTGTTTAGGAATCAGGTAGGGAGACTAACCCAGCTGAGATGCGATGAAGGCTTGAATCAGGGTTTCTGCAGCAGTGCAGTCAAGAAAAGCCAGCGTGTCTGAGGTGACAGTAAGAGACTTTTCAGGTGTCTTTTATGTGTGTATCAAAACAGAGCTCAGGATCAAACAAGACCCCTAGATTTCTCATACTTGTAAGGCAGTGATTAAATGAGATGTAGCTTCCCTGGGATTTATGCACATCACATCAGTTTTTTCTTGTTCTGAATAATAGTGTTGACTAAAAGAAGCCAACCACAGTCAGAACAGTTCTCAGGGACAACCTTTTGACCCATGAATTCTGAGTCGTGAGGGAATCCACAATCGTTGTAAATATTTTGGGGAGAAACAAGGCTGCCATTGTTTTTGTAGCATTTCAGGTTTCCAAGCTTCCAGTACTTGCAGAAAAGCCAGTACCTGTTTCTTCATGCCTGTTGTTTCATTTTCAGTCCGTCTCACTTAGACCTCTTTTGTGGAATCAAAATAATCTTAAGTATTCTGTTTTCCACTGCATTGACACAGTCTCTTGAAGATCTTCAACTCTTAAAACCAGAATTAATCCAACCGCAGTGCAAAGGGACTCATTTTTTTTTCCTAGGAGCAGTTCCAAAAATTTTACACATTTTACAACATAGGGATAACGAAGAATTGGTCATAGATAGCTCTGGTGCATATTTTTCCCGTTATTTCCCTTGAAATCATAGCAGCATATAAACAGCATCTAATGGGAAAATATCAATATAGTGTAAATAAGACAGTTCTATACCTTTCGTTTTCAGTCGATGAAGAAAATTCAATTTTCTGCCCCTTTTCAAAAAACAAATCCCCAAAATCCCACCTGAACCGCTGCAGGGAGTGTTGTTTTTTTTTTAATACAGTTGAACGGGGAGGTGGGCGCCCCCTGCTGGACAGCGGCCATCATGTCGGGAACGGCCACCGTCCTGCAGCAGTTCGTCAGCGGCCTGAAGAGCCGCAGTGAGGAGACTCGGGCCAAAGCCGCCAAGGACCTCCAGCACTACGTCACCACCGAGCTGCGAGAGGTGAGGAGACCCGTGGGGTCCCCACTGCCCCTTTCCCCTGCCCGTCACTGGGGGAGGCTCAGGGTGCTGTGTAGCACAGCGTGGTGCGTGTCTCAGTCCTGTTCGAGGAATGAAAGTGCTTTGGACCCAAGAGGGTCGAATTTGATTTATTGCTGGTTTGATTTCAGTTTTCTTAGCGGTTTACAGAATTGATTGATCAAACGAGTCAGCGCTGCTATGGTGGAGGCGGATGTGGCGCACTGTTGAAGGTTCGCCCAGCGCAGGAATGTTAATCCCAGCCCCTTTTCTCGTTGCCGCTGTCTCTCCCAGCTCAGCCAAGAAGAGGCCACCACCTTCTATGACGAGCTGAACCATCATATCTTTGAGCTGGTGTCCAGCTCCGATGTCAATGAGAAGAAAGGAGGCATCCTTGCCATTGGTGAGTCAGTCCTGCGATTTCTGTGTCCGTTCCCCAGGTTTCCTCGAGGAATGAAGAAAACCCCGATACTGACACTACCGAACAGTGTTGTCTGAAACGCAGGTCATCTTATTCAGTAATGGCTGCCGGTGCTGAGCTTCTGTGCCGTTTTCCTCACACAGTGAGCCTGATTGGAGTCGAAGGAGGAAATGCCACGCGAATCAGTCGATTTGCGAACTACCTCCGCAACCTGCTGCCCTCCAGCGACCCGGTGGTCATGGAGATGGCCTCGAAGGCCATGGGCCACCTGTCGATGGCCGGGGACACCTTCACTGCGGAGTACGTGGAGTTCGAGGTCAAGAGGGCTCTGGAGTGGCTGGGGGCGGACAGGAACGAGGGGCGACGGCACGCCGCGGTAAGAGCTTTGCCGCCAGGCCTTTTTTGGCGTTTGACCTCGCGCCTGGAGTGGGCTGCCGCTGGCCGGCGCCCACCCGCCTCGGACCTGAGAACGTGTCCATTTCAAATATCGCCCTGGCTCGCCAGTAAGCAGGGCAGAACCGGGGTCGCAGCGCGAGCTCAGAGTTGGCCAGGAAACTAATGGTGTTGTTCTAGTCCACCCACTCATCCGTTTTCCAACTGCTCTGTCCAGTACAAGGTCACGGGGGAGCCAGAGCCAATCCGGGCAAATCGATGGGCACAAGGCAGGGTACCCCCTGGGCAGGAGACCAGTCCATCGCAGGGCACACACAGACACAGGCACTCACACTCACTGTCACACCAGGCCAGTTTTCCCAGATGCCAGTTATCCGTCCAGCACGTCTTAGGCCTGTGGGAGGAAACTGGAGCTCCAGGAGGAAACCCATGCGAACACAGGGAGAGATCCACCCCGAGTTTGGAAAATCCAGGGCCCCGAAATCTTTCCGAATTTCTTAAACAATTCTGCTTATTTTTTAGAACTAAAGAACGGTTAAAAATGAGGCCCTTTGGTATCTTGAATAGACCAGGATTTGCACTCCCACTCGTTGTCCAACCCGAGCCCTCTGGTTCGTGTTTCACTGCTGGTTCAGAACCGACCCGCTGGGTCGACTTCCTGGGTGACGTCTCGGGGTTCCTGTCTCTGCAGGTGCTGGTGCTGAGGGAGCTGGCCGTGAGCGCCCCCACTTTCTTCTTCCAGCAAGTGCAGCCCTTCTTCGACAACGTCTTCTACGCGGTGTGGGACTCCAAGCAGGCCATCCGCGAGGGCGCGGTGTCGGCCCTGAGGGCCTCCCTCATCCTCACCACGCAGCGCGAGACCAAGGAGATGCAGAAGCCCCAGTGGTACAAGGTGCAGATCGGCACGTCCGCGCGTCGGGCGGGGGCTGGGGGGGGAGCTGAGGAGAGGGGGCGCTGACCTCCGCCCTCGCTCTGCCTCTTGCAGCAAACCTTCGAGGAAGCCGAGAGGGGCTTCGACGAGAGTCTGGCCAAGGAGAAAGGCATGAACCGGGACGACCGGATCCACGGCGCCCTGCTGATTCTCAATGAGCTCGTCCGCATCAGCAGCATGGAGGGAGAGGTAAGGTCGTGCGCCTCGCAGTCGACTGGCTCCAGTGGGAGCCGATGGGAATTAGTGCAGGGCCACCTCTCCAGTCTGTATCTTCGTCATGTAGTCATGCAGATCGTGCAGTCTTTATCTTCGTCATGTAGTCATGCAGATCGTGCAGTCTTTGGACAGAGCAAATTATTTTAGTATTTTAATGCGCCAGCTTTCAGCTTCCCAGGATAGTCTGTGCAACATGTATTTCATGTATGATATAAAGGAATGCCTGCGTGCCCATAAATAACATTATGATGGTAACTAATCCCTAGCATTAGCAAGCTACACAAATATTTTTAGATTCTAAAAGCTAATGTCATGTCACGGCGTCTTTGGTAAATGCCTGGCGGAGGGTGGGACACTCTGCTAATAAAAATGATGAGCTTTCGGGTGCCACTTGGGTCCAAGAGGCATATGAAAACAAGGTGGGACCAGGGCAACCATGCCCCCTGACCCCCGATCTCTGACCCCTGACCCTGCTGACCTGGTCTTGAAGCGGAATCGAGCAGTGCAAGTGAAGGCCTCTGTTCTCCTGTTTCCGCCCCTCAGCGGCTCCGAGAGGAGATGGAGGAGATCACGCAGCAGCAGCTGGTCCACGACAAGTACTGCAAGGAGCTGATGGGCTTCGGCACCAAGCCGCGCCACATCACCCCCTTCACCAGCTTCCAGTCCGTGCAGCCGCAGCAGTCCAACGCCCTGCTGGGGCTCCTGGGCTACAGCACCACCCAGGGGTACCTCAGTTTCGGGGCCACCCCGGCGCCGGCCAAGAGCACCCTGGTGGAGAGCCGCTACTGCCGGGAGCTGATGGAGGAGCATTTCGAGCAGGTGATGCCCGTCTGCCCCGTGTGAGCCCGGTCACCCCGGGGTGGGACCCCCAGTTCCAGACGGAGAGCCCCCTTAATTCTTAATTGCAGTGCATTCCTTTTAAAGCCTGTTGTGCAAACTTCCATAAGCTTCTTTTAAGAACTGTTAGCATTTTATTTGAGTTCCTTTAAATCTGGACCTTTACCTCAAATTCTGACTCTATGCTTATTTCCGATAGAATGTGACAAAATATCACCTTTCAGAAAAGTGTTCCTAGACCCACAAACGTCCAGCCGGTTCCCTCACTCGGTGTGCTGGTTCCGTAGGGTGACGGAAATGCGATTGATCCAGGAGATTGTGAATAAAATCATGTGGTGGTTTGCTGTTCCCCAGGTGTGCCGGTGGGTGCTGAAGTACCGGACCAGTAAGAACCCTCTGATTCAGATGACGATACTGAACCTGCTGCCTCGCCTGGCTGCCTTCCAGCCTCACACCTTCACAGGTCTGTTGGGAAGCACTCTGGACAGGCATGCATGACCGTATCTACAGGTGCCTTTTTAATACTCAGTGCCCCCAGGGATCATGGAACAATGGCTTTTTTTGTCTGTTAAATAAAGTAATTTACTCAGTTTGAGTAGATCAGGGCGACGTGGAGCCACAAGGCCTTGTGGTTCCCAAGCACTGCGCTTCCTTCCTTCCGAACTCCTTGCTGTTTCTCAGTCTGTAACAATTGCCTCTTCTTGAGTATTCTTGAGTGTTTCACTGACGTCCTCTCGCCTCTGCTGGTTCCCACTGGCGATTCTCAGATCACTATTTGCTGGACACCATGGGCCACCTGCTAGGATGCCTGAAAAAGGAAAAGGAGCGAACAGCGGCCTTCCAGGCCATGGGCCTCCTGGTGGTGGCTGTGAGGACTGAGATCCAGCCCCACCTCGGCAAGATCCTGGAGATCATCAAGGCTGCCCTTCCGCCCAAGGACTTTGCACACAAGTAGGTACCGTAGGGCCTTCGGCACCTGCAGGGCCAGGCCAGGATGTCAGAGAGCTCTGGGCAGAAAAGTTAATTCCATCCTTCAGCAACAGAGTGCAGACAATAGGGCTGTGTTCCATTTAGAATCTGCGGCTTCCAGCAGACTTTCTTTATGTCAAATGCCAAGAGAAAGGCGTCTACACCTTATTCATTAGTACAATCCTGAGGATCTTAAGTGATCAGATCTGCATTTACAGGTGTATGTTGGTCTGTCGCGAAGCGAAGTAGCCCTTGATTGAGAAAGTCGCTTCGTTGCCGTTGCAGTTCAGTGTGGTTCGGAGATCTTGCAGAAGAGGAACCTCAGGAGCGCTTTGCCTGCTGGTCTGAGCTGCTGTTTGGTGCCTGAGACACACGTTTAATCAATTAAATTAGCCGCTTGCCTTGCATTAATTAGCAATCAGTTAAGACATTTTTATACGCGGTAGGTTTTGTTCATTTAAGGTGCGCGGAGAGGTTTCAGGGGCTTTTTGAAATAGGAAATATTAGAGCAGCAGCTGCAGAAGTGTGGGCGGCGGGTGGACAGGGCCGTCAGAGGAGAAATGCCATGCTGAGACGAGTTCCCTTCCCCCCAGGAGACAGAAGACCGTGCAGGTGGACGCCACCGTGTTCACCTGCATCAGCATGCTGTCTCGCGCCATGGGGCCCAGCATCCAGCAGGACATCAAGGAGCTGCTGGAGCCCATGCTGGCGGTGGGCCTGAGGTGAGCACCACTCCTCTTCCACAGCTGTCCCTGGCCTGGGGAGTGTGCAGATCCGCAACAGTGGGAAACCCAGGGCCTGGTTTTTGAAGCTGGTGCTTCCACCTTTGCCCGCGTAGCCCAGATGGATTGATTGAATATTTTATTTTTTCTGAATGAGTGTAACAATCTGAACTCAACTTAGTAAAAAAGTAAAATGCCTGGGGTAGAGAGATCTCCAATGTAAAGCTGACCAGCAATCTAATGGAAAAGATAAGGTTGCAATTTTCTTTCTCGGGGATGAAGAAGTTGTGTATTACAGAGGGTGACATTTTTGACTCGGTTGCTTTTCGGAGGAAGTCCTTGAGTGTGGACCGTGGCGTCCTGAGTGCCGTGTGTGTCTTGCAGCCCCGCCCTGACTGCAGTGCTGTACGACCTGAGCCGCCAGATCCCCCAGCTGAAGAAGGACATCCAGGACGGGCTCCTGAAGATGCTCTCCCTGGTCCTCATGCACAAGCCTCTGCGCCACCCCGGCATGCCCAAGGGCCTGGCGCACCAGCTGGCGTCGCCCAGCCTCACGAACATCCCGGAGGCCAGCGACGTGGGCAGCATCACCCTGGCCCTGCGCACCCTGGGCAGCTTCGAGTTCGAAGGTGAGAGCGCTGGGAGTGTGGGAGAAACAGCACCCAGCTGGAGTCTGCAGAAAGGCTCACATTGGTCATGGAGGATTGTTATAGCTGTGTGCCATTCATAAAAGTGTCTCTGTTTTAAAAACCTTTCATTTATCAATAGCTTTGTTTGTGGAGCCTTAAGAGTTTTTCTGTTTTGGTTTTTACTTTAATCAAAACGTTAACACAGGTTTGAAGTGGATTGAAATTCCCGTAGGACTACTTTTCAGATTTCCTACGGTTCCTGCAGTCTGATGTCCATTTCACCTGGTTGCTCGAAGTGATCCTGCTGTCTCTCTGCCCCCCCAATCCCCCCCCCACCCCTTCAGGGCACTCGCTGACCCAGTTCGTGAGGCACTGTGCCGACCACTTCCTGAACAGCGAGCACAAGGAGATCCGCATGGAGGCCGCGCGCACCTGCTCCCGCCTGCTCACGCCTTCCATCCACCTGATCGGCGGCCACGGCCACATCGTCAGCCAGACGGCCGTGCAGGTGGTGGCCGACGTGCTCAGCAAGCTGCTGGTCGTGGGGATCACTGACCCCGGTGAGGCCCGACGCCGCCTCGCCGTGCCCAGACCCATACCGCCCGGCTGTGATGATCGGCGGGCTGGTGTGGAGAGATGGGGCAAGCCCAGGCGGTCACCTGGAAAGAATCTGAATTGTAGTTTAAGATTGTTAATTGTTAAATTAACCTTGTTAAACACATTGTTAAAGGTGTTATTTGTAATGCAATAAAAAAATCCAAGTAAACACAGGGACCATGCTGACTCCTCACAGACAGCCATGATGTCTTCAAGCCGTCTAGTAATACATTTCACATCTAGGCGTTTAGTGCTTGGGTGGCCATGATGCAGAGTACAAGCGGCGTGTTTGAGGCTTGCTTGGAAGGACAAATCGCCTGCGCTGTCTTTTCTGTAACATGCCTTCTTGTTTCTCCCAAATCCCCCCTTGTGTTTCTGCTTCCCGCCGGCCCAGACCCCGACATCCGCTACTGCGTGCTGGCCTCCCTGGACGAGCGCTTCGACGCGCACCTGGCCCAGGCGGAGAACCTGCAGGCCCTCTTCGTGGCCCTGAACGACGAGGTCTTCGAGATCCGGGAGCTGGCCATCTGCACCATCGGCCGGCTCTCCAGCATGAACCCCGCCTTCGTCATGCCTTTCCTGCGCAAGATGCTCATCCAGGTACCGAGGCGAAACGCCGCCTCGAACTTTCGCTTTTTATTTTTAGCTTAAGCTTTGGTGAGGATGAATAATGGAAACAGTCAAACACCACCTTTTATTCTGTTCTAGTGCAGGATTGTCTTGTGATGAGAGTGAAAATCATTTGACATTTTGCTCAGTCGTCTGTGTTTTTCTAGCACAGCTAGCAGTATGTGTGGAATTTTGTAGACCACCACCAGATGGCAGTCTTGTATTTCCATTTGAGATTGTTGCTTCATTGAAGCTCACTTTAAGGTTAACGAGGATCTGTTTCCACAGATACTGACAGAGCTGGAGCACAGTGGGGTGGGCAGAAACAAGGAGCAGAGCGCCCGCATGTTGGGTCACCTGGTGTCCAATGCGCCACGACTCATACGCCCCTACATGGAGCCCATCCTCAAGGTACCCCTGCTGAAGGAAGGCTTTTTGCCATGAATGTCTTGACACACTGTGACCTTCTTATCTTCTATACCTGCGTGGGATAACAAGGTGCTACTTCTGTCCACAGGATCGTTCCACCTGAGTGCTCGAGTGCTTAATTCAATTTGTTTTTCTACTTCGTTGAAAAGTTTAAAAAGAGGTGCTAAATGGACAGAATAAGAGGATAGTCGCCCTTATATGTGGCCTTGTGTCATGTAATAAAAACTCACAGAGCACAAATGGGCTCTGATTTTTTTATGGCTAGTTTGAAAATGCAAAAAGGAAATTGAAGGGTCGTTCACACATCTGAGTTTTGGTTTGAAAATTTGGAAAAGCAGAAGGGAAGAAAAACGTTCCTTTTCCTTGTCTAGGATCGTCTGTGGGCTGGTACATGTTATCCTCTGGACTCACGCAGGTGTCCCTGGTGTTGACTCGTCTCGGCTTAATGTTGTTGCAGGCCCTCATCCTGAAGCTGAAAGACCCCGATCCCAACCCGGGGGTGGTCATCAGCGTCCTTGCCACCATTGGAGAGCTGGCTCAGGTATGGCCGTGCGGAGCTAGTGTCGAATCAGCCAGTCAGACGGGCATGCAGGGAGCTGTGCAGCTCGGGGCTCAGGGAGTGTCCTGTGCGTGTGTCATGCCACACCCGATGGCGCCCGAGGCTCACGGCTGCATCGGCAAAGCGTGTCCTGCGTGTTGAGGGTGCTGCAGCATGCTAACCCCCTTGCTGTTGCAGGTGAACTGCTGCGCGGCTGAGAGAGGGGAGGCAGGCAGGGTTAGGAGAAAGCTAGCCCTACACAGGAGGTGCAGCTCAGGGGATGCCAGCATAGGGAGAGTCCATACCAAGGTGAAGAGACCATAGAGGTTAAGGCTCGTTTGCTGAAAACAGAGGAGACGCACAAAGCCCGTTATTAAGAAATACATTAGAACTGTACATCTAAAATATATCCGCTATTGCTTGACAATATTATTGTGAAATGGGCAAACTATTCTCTTAAAGCGGTCATAGACAGCTCCATTTTGCAGATTGGGAGAAGGTATGCAGGAAGGAAACCGTAGACACTGCTCGATCCAGCGGTGCTTCCTTGAGGTGATCAATGGAGAAAGAGGCTGAGGTTTGATAGAGTTGCTCACAGGAGTGGAATGCACATCTTTGTAATGCTGGTACTGAATATTTTGAATCTTTCGAGCAATAAATATGATTTGGAGGATAAGTCTTACATTTCTGTTAGCTCCACCCTTTCCCAAACCATAGAATTTAGGGATTTATTTGCTCATTTTAGAGGCAAATTTCAGTGAAGCCTCATTCCTTGTGATAGTTCTCCAGCAGTTAAGAGTTAGTTGAAGTGGCCGCCTGCACCAGGTCTGTGGTCTCACTGGGCTGTACTACAGGTCAGCGGTCTGGAGATGAGGAAGTGGATGGACGAGCTTTTCCCCATCATCATGGACATGTTGCAGGACTCCTCCTCCCTCGCCAAGAGACAGGTACGTGATGGGACACAGGGTCTGACCGATACAACACAGGATTCTGGGTAAGATAGGAAAAGTGCAGCACTCTGGGTAAGACAGATACAGGGTAGGGTCCTGGGTAAGACAGGTGCAGTGTGGAACTGTGGGTAAGACGGGTACAGAACAGGATTCTGGGTATGAGGTGCAGTGTGGAACTATGGGTAAGATGGGTACAAAACAGGATTCTGGGTAAGACAGGTACAGTGTGGAACTGTGGGCAAGATGGGTACAGAATAGGATCCTGGTTATTTCAGGCACTGAAAGTGGACACCCGAGAAAGGCATGCAGACTCTTGACAGACTGTTGGGGTAACCTCAGGGTTTTGTGAATGGGTCACAAGGATGACAGCATACTGTTTAAGATTCATCACCATATTAGATAGTATGTCAAATGTTAATTCATTTAAAACAAAAAACAAAAAGAAGCTTAAAGTGTTTAAGTTGAACTGGCACTTTTTGAAAGAATAGTGGTTTCCCTGTAACTCAGTTGGTTTCTCACTTCTTCATCTGGTCTGTGGTGGAACAGGGCTGCTGTTCCACAGCTCCCGTGCGTATTCCGGGTGGATCCTGTCCTACCTGTGAAGTGCTTTGGGAAGAAAGAGCTAAATAAACACAAGGAATTCATTGGTAACTCATTGCTTGGTCTCACCAGGCATCTGGGCAAAATTGAAACTTGAGAATCCCCACAATCAAGGCAACCTCACACACAAGCAGAGGCCAGCCAGACATGGTCTCTAGAATGTTTAAGTTTGAGAAACATTCACTAATGCTTTCTGATTCGTAGTGGGAGCCAGTGTAGGAATAAGCAGTTTAAATCCTTGCGATATTTATGGACTCCGCATTACCCCACAGCCAGAAGCAATAAGAGGCGTCATTAAAAAGGGGGAGAAAATACAGCCCTTCGGATGTTGTAATTCTTGAGTCTCCAAAGCCAAGTTCAAGTCACAGGAGCGAAACTGATCTGGAGGTGACTTACTGGTGACCTAGGAGGAGGAATGTCTTCATCTGTGTCTCCACAGGTTCTCATTGCTTTCCCATTACTGATGTTATTATTTTATCCTGCTTTAGTAATCACCTCGGTCGTAAACTCAATGTGAGTTAGCTCTCGGCGTCTTGAGCTGACTCCTGGCTTTTGGGAGAGCAACTGTAAATGGGTCAGTCAAGATGCGGTCAGGCTAAACGGGGGAGATGAGGACAATTTTGGGGGTGTTAGGATGAAGATTAAGTTTCCCAGGGGTTGTTTGAAAACTTCACTACATGACCTATTTAAACAGAGGTAACTGACATTTAGGCCAGCAGCCATATCACCCTGCAGCTCAACTGGCAGCCCACTGAATCCCAGCAGTGTGAGCCTTTGAGTGGAGTGTCCAGAAAAGCGCTATATAAGTGTAAGGAATTATTATTGTTTTATTATTATTCAGAGTGTGGTGTTTACTGTGAAAGTGTTGGTTAAATGGTGTGAGTACTGCTATTTCCAGATTTCTTCTATGTGTGATGCCAGCCAGCATCAGTTCAGACAGAGGCTGACATGTTTGTTGCCAGAGGAGATCTAACACCTTTTCAAGTTCATGCATCAGATCCAGAATCAATAACAAACCACAATTGACAATCCAAGCAAAATGACGTTTTTGCCCCATTATGCGTGTGGCAGCAGAGAAATGTTTTATTACAGGAGTGACAGGCTTCATACCTAGTTTTATTTACCTTGGATTGTGGAAGTTTGTGGAAGCAAGGGCTGTTGTGTGTGTTCTGAGATATGCATGGCTATAAATTAATTCCTTAAATATGTGCAAAAACTGATCCAGTTTACCTTCTGAAGTTCTCGCAAACATTAAACAAAAATAACTTTTTACATTTTTTCTTTCATTTTGTATAAATTCTGACTAGGGCATTCTTGAAAATAAAATTTAGTTTTATCGTTTGACATTCTGCACTAGCTTATGTGACCTGATCTGGTGTAATTTTGTTGTTAGATATATGCTGGGCTTAAAAATGTAACCAAATTATCTCAATAGCAGCCATCGGTGTACCAGCTTTGGTACCAAAGATCATAAACAGATTACTTATGATAAGTTAGTTCATTCGGCCTGTTGAACATTTTTTAACATTATTGAAAATAAAAAGAATGATATACCAGGTGGTCTTATCTTGCAATTGACATTGACATTGACAAAGGCTGTCTATTTCAAATGATGCTCTCATTTTAGAGATTTGGAAAGAAACTGTTTGAAGGGTTTTACATTTCACATTTAAAATGATGGTGATGTTTTGTTAGTAATTCATTTTACATTAAAATCAGTGACCTAGTTTTTTTCTATTCTCCTGATAAAAAAGTTACCTGTTTGTATAAAAAGGTGCAGTTGTATTTTCTCGTTAGTCTCCAGTTTTCCCAGCCAGCAGTGCTGGTGTTTGTTTAGTGGACACCTATGGCAGGTGTATTGTAATGTGGCAGTGCTGACTGAGGCCCAGTCTGGCTATGGCTGGTGTTGTCCAGGGTAGAGGTGCAGATTGATTGTGTAATAAAGTATTGTGATGAATAAAATGTGTTATATATCTTAGAGGTGCCTGAGGTGCCTTTTAGAGCTGTAGAATATTGATCATCCTGAACTCCAGACTATTGATCACTCTGAGCTCCAGAATATTGATCATCCTGAATTCCAGACAATTGATCACTCTGAGCTCCAGAATATTGATCATCCTAAACTCCGCACTATTGATCACCCTAAGCACCAGAATGTTGATCATCCTGAAATCCAGACTATTGATCACCCTGAGCTGCAGATTATTAATGCATAACAGTGTGGAGACTGGTGAAGCATCCTGCTCTCCTTAACATGTGGCTGATATATTTTTAATCTTGTGAATTCTTTGGAGTACGTGATTCCCAAACGAAATTATGTGCTGAGTGTTTTTTTATTGATTTGGGTTAATAATAATTTCATTTTGCGTTTCATTAACAACTCGCCAATTGTTTCAGAGTCTGATGCCCTTGCCTTCTTCCAAGGACAAAGATGATGTAATCCCTTAATCTCATGCTTCACTGGCAGTTTACCTTTTTGTATATTAGAGTGATTTATTTTAATTCCATCGCATTAAATGTTCTTTGATTCTACACAAAGCATTTTTTTCCAAATTACTCTTGACATCTTGAGTATAACATGAAGCATTACTTTGCCAGTGATGTAAGTCTTTTTCTACTTGATTACAATGTAAAGGGTTTTGTTAATGCTGTTTTTGCATTTTGCAGATTGCAGAGTCTGGAAAAAAGTTGGACCATTTCAAATAGCAAGGCTTTTAACAAACTCAGTACTGTTGTGTAGAGAGAATTGCTATATCAGGATTATACTATTACTTTAACATGAAGCACCTACTTTAAATTAGAATCACGTGATCGGTGCATTTTTGCCAAGTCCTTCCCGTGCCATTTTTTTGTTTGTTAGAACATTGATAATTTGGTATATATGTCTGTGCTGAAAAACTTGAACTTAAGTTGCAAAAGCATACCATTCAGCATATTAGTACATTACAGGGATAATCTAACTGCAGAACCTGACACAACTACATAGCATTTAAAAAAAATCCTTTTTATATTTTTCCTGTTTTATTCCTTGAGAATAGTATTTCTCACAGTCTTTGGTCTTGGCGCCTTCCCAGACTGGTGGCAGAGGGCGGTCCTGAGTCTGTGCACAGCTCTTCACTGTGACCTGTATGTGCTCTTGCCCTGCAGGTGGCGCTGTGGACACTAGGGCAGCAGGTGGCTAGCACTGGATACGTGGTGGAGCCCTATCGCAAATACCCCTCGCTGCTGGAGGTGCTACTCAACTTCCTGAAGACCGAGCAAAACCAGGGTATCAGGAGAGAGGTACTGATCTCGGTAGACTCAGGTCCTAAAAGAACCTGTTGCAGTCTACTGCCATTATCTGTAAAGGTATCCATGCTTTCGTTTGACATTCCAGATTGGAATAAGAAAACGTCTAGTTCAGCTCTAGACTCATTCACATTTTTTTAAAGAAACGGATAGGACCTCCCTGAAATATTCTACCAGGGCATTGCACTGTTTTTTCTAGTTACGCCAGTGACTAATAAACCGTTAGTGGCAAATGTGGTAATGGGATGTATTGATGGATTTCTAATGGGAGATGTGTGGCTTGGCTTCCAATGTCCTGCAGTTTCTTCTTCTTCGCCCTTCGTGACGGATTGGCTCTGCTGTTTCCACAGGCCATACGGGTCCTCGGTCTCCTTGGAGCCCTGGATCCCTACAAGCACAAGGTGAACATCGGGATGATTGATCAGTCCAGGGACGCCTCGGCGGTCAGCCTCTCCGAATCCAAGTCTAGCCAGGATTCCGGTATGCATTCTTGGGGAAACGCTTAACGATCACCTTGGTGCGCAGCTAGGGATGCTTCTCTGTCGTTAGGACCCGGAGCCAGTGGAGTGTAGAATAATGGAGCTGTTTACACATGCAGAAGCACTCAAACCGCTGAGGTTTCAGGTCGAGACAAAGTGAACTCGAGGTTCTGACTGTAAGTATTTTTCCTTGAGGCTGGGGGGGCTCCATGCAACCCGGATTTCCAAGGTAAGTTAACCTTGTAAAAGTCACGCACTTGGCACCTGCTGCGTCGGCTCGTGTCTCACACGGCCCTGAACAGTGGAAATCAAAGAAACTGTCCATGTTACAAAGTTTGTTTTCGGATTAAAACCCATTAACGTGCTTTGGCAAACATAAACCATTCCTGTTTGCAGTGAAACTTATAATTAGGCTTTTTTCCTCGCTGTATGGAGGCCTTAAAACAGCACCTTCGTTGTCAACAGCCGTGGTGCATATTGCTATTTTTCTAGCCGTAATTAATCATGATTGCAGGATATAATATGTACATTCCTGTAGCACGTTACAGCAAGATCCTTTTGTGTGTTTTTGTGTTGAGGTTAGCTGGAGTGTAATATTCTGCACTAAATCAATCTGACATTCGGCTTTCATTGAGGATGGGGTGTGTCATTAAGACTTAAAGGGTGGGGGCTGCCGGAAGGTAAAAATCGGGGTGAACCGGACGTGTTTCGGCCCCCTTGATCTGATCGGAACGGCCTGAGGCCCTGGCGGCTCCAGATACAGCCCATGCACTTGCTCACCTTCCGCGTGTGAGGGATGGAGGGATAATGGCTTTAGCAGCATCGCTCCATAAAGAGGAGCAAGGAGGCCAAAACAAATCTCTTCGTTCAGGTGTCTGGTTACAGGGACAGCGAGCTCAGGGCCTCTGGGTAATGCAATCGCTCTCAGCAGTTTTGTAGACTGTTGTTCCTGACCTGCTGGCTCTCCTGCGAGTTTTAATATAGGACACTGTATTCTCTGTGATGCGCAGGGGTCTCCTGTCTCGTGTGTATCCCTGCTGCACAGCTGGTTACCTACCCACTAAGCTGCCTGGTGCTTCTGATCGTTGCTGAGAGTCTGAGGGAATGTGGTCTGGAACTGGTGGCATCCCAGGCCAGAGAGAACAGTGGACTAACTATCCCAAATTCAATTGAAACTGAATTAAAAAGCACTTCGCCTACAGTGGGGGGGGGCGGGGGGCGCTGAGGATGAACCGGTAGTGGAAGGTTTTGAAGCCACAGACTATGTTTTTGTTTCCATTTTTTATCGTGACTTTATTGAGTTTTTTGAGTGTTTATGAGTATAGTTGTCTGTCCAGAGTAATTGGATAAGAGGAGGTCATTCAGCCAGTCTGGCCTGTTTGTTCGTCACTGTTTCCACCAGATTGTATCCTTTACCTTCCTGTGCTTTACTATACTTCACTCTGCTTTTTCGTAATGTATTGAGTAAACGTTTCCGAAAACGCTGAATAATGGGCCTGTGACACCTTGTACATGGTCTACATTAATTTTGAAAAGTGAATCTATAATAAATATCTCAGATTAGGTTGCCTAAGGCCCTGAATATGGCCTTAAGGACTTAATTCTAAAATGCTTCTGATGTCAGTGACTCGAAACATTCTCATATTTTTTAATTTGACGTTATTTATTTTTACAGTTACCTGTCTCCACGGTCATTTTATCCCTTGCTTAGCCTACAGTAATATTTTTGTTCTGAAGACAGTCGACATATGGCTGCTTTAACCAAAACGCTTATTATAGCACATTCTGTGTAACATCACGCTGCCAAAAGGGTCGCGGTTTACCACTGGACCACCAGTGCAGACTGGCTGCCCTCGCAGATGAGATTGCTTTCTTCCCGAACATTTCCAGTTTCCAGTGCATCCATTGGTGCTCTGGCTCGCCGTCCTTGGTGTCTGCAGGATGAGCTGTGTGACCTGTGTAGTCCCCAGGGCTGCCTTGTTGTCTTGGGCGTTTCGGCCTTTGTGATGTCAAATCTAATTAGGGAGTAGTAGAGCAAAGTGTAGAGGGCAGGGAGGGGAAGTCTGTCTGAAAAAGACAGGCCTGGTCAATCAGCAGCTGCTAAAGGTACAGTATAAGGGCAAAGGGGAAGAAGGCAGCAGTTCTACCGGTGTTAAGCTGGGAGTCCAACTGTAGGAGCTGGACGCTGTGAAGGTTTATTCAGGGAGCACAAAAGACTGCAGGCGTTCTTCACACCTCGGGGGACTCGGCACCCACACCCCAATATCTTGAAAGAAAGGGCTTCGTGGTCCTGGATGTGATGCCTGAGACATTACACGTGCTCGAGGTCTCGTGTTGTGAAACCACTCGAAAACGGATCGCCCCTTTACAGAGCCAGAGCTCTGCTCGTCACTGTAATTCCTCCCGTTAAGAGGCTGTTTCTGGCACACAGAGCTTTGGTGCAGGCTAGAAATCAAATCGGTCCACAGTGTGCAATCCATGGTAATTTAAGTTAATACTGTGAAGTTTCCCTAATGAGCTAGTTGCACATGTTTGGAACTGATGTTTTTACTTCATGAATTCCTTTAAATGAATATATTTCATAGCAGTCTAGTATTCCTCTGTTGACTTTTTATTATTTGAAAATGTAGTCAACAATCCCTAGGCAAATGTGTTTAATATCAGCAATCAGTTTCAGTTTCTTCTTAACAGCTGTCTTTTGTTCCAAATTTCTTTTCAGAAATTAAAAAAGCATGAATTGATTAACTTAGCTGTGAAATGGAAGGCTACTGCTTTCTAAGGCAGTAGGAATTCTTGTGGCTGTCATTAGGTAGTGACATCGGTTGCTTGGTATTGGTAAAATTGGTGAAGGTCCGCAGCAAATCACTGGAGCACATTAGAGAAGCCTAAATACCTTTTACAAACAGAGTGTGGTTAAGAAGGCCAAGAGCATTATCAAGTGTGTGACACACCCCCTTACATTGGGAGTATTTACACTGGGAGATGGCTCTGTGTCCCCAGGTGTAACAGTACTAGACTCAGGAAATATTACACCCCCTCTGCAGTCTCACTATCAGTATGCAATGTAAAAATAACTCCTAAAGCACTATTGCACTGTAGTCTTTGCTGGTGACGTTTGTCGTGTTGGTTTCTGCCCTAAAACAAATGTCCCCCAGGAGATGATAAAGCTTGAAGTGAATTGAATGAAAGCCCTCAGTGAGACTCTTGAAAGCCAGGCCTGAGCGGCCAGACCATGGGCTCGAGTCATGCGCTCTGTCTTTCAGCCGACTACAGCACCAGCGAGATGCTCGTCAACATGGGGAACCTGCCCCTGGACGAGTTCTACCCAGCCGTTGCCATAGTGACGCTGATGCGCATTCTGCGGGACCCGTCCCTGTCCAATCACCACACCATGGTCGTGCAGGCCGTCACCTTCATCTTCAAGTCTCTGGGGCTGAAGTGCGTGCAGTTCCTGCCCCAGGTCATGCCAACCTTCCTCAACGTCATCCGCGTCTGTGACGCCAACATCAGAGAGGTAGGGTCTCACACTGGGTTAAATACACATTTCACCCGCCACCCTGATCAGACCACATGGGAACAAAAATATGGGCTCTTCCTAAAGCGCCCATTTAAATCCGCCCAGCCAGCGAGTTGAGAAAGTTCATTGGCACAGATTCTGATGTGCTTTGAAGATGAAAATGAAAGATCCATGGTGAAGGTTAAGGTTACCACAGAAGTGTTTTCTGAAACAGTATACATAGATCCATCTGGCCGTCTGGTACCAGACAGCTGCCTATTCCTGGTGTGTGGCCCGGCAGCTATGTGCCGTACCGGCAAGAGTAGGGAGCAAGGCCAGATTACACTCTGGAAGAGACGTCAGACCAGCGTAGGGCCTGCTCACACATCCACAGAGGAACAGTTTCTAGACACCTGTCAGCCTAGCCTGCATGTCATGGGGAAGTGGGAGAAAATCAGTGCACCTGAAGAAACCCCAGGCTGACAAAGGGGAACATGCAAACTCCACACAGAATCAGTCCGGTTTTGAACCCAGGATCCAAGAGCTTTGAGGCAGCACCTTTCCACTTTTTTTCTCGCTGATGCAAAACCCTAATTGTTAATTCTGTTACATGTCTACTGTTCATGCAGTCCTCCATCTGATCTGGTGCCCTGGATGTATCTGGTTTAGTTAGTTGTTGTGCCACCTTTTTTATAATTCAAAATTTAGGTCGTATGATAAAAACATCAGAGTAGTAACTTAGTAGTTATTTTTCCAGTTTTAGACTGAGTTACAGTCCCAGTTTTGCAGTAAATTGTCAGGCGGTCCTGGACTTCAAGAGTTCAAGTCCTCTCAGGGCTGCAGGTCTGGGTGCTTGTTTGCATCTGTCCCACTTCTTATATCATTCACTTTTGAAAAGATATTTCATGCCTACTTGTTACATGCACCTGGTGTTTTATCTTAAGGGATTAGACTCAATACGTCTTTCTGCAGATAGGTTATAACTAATTGGAGTTGGCATAACCTGCTGCCAAGTTTAGTAAGACCTTGTAATTTTCTTAACTTCAATTAAGGTATAAGAGATTTTGGAAACAGTCGTAAATATTAATTGTATAATGTATGCAATTACTTCACACACAGAATGTAACCATTAGGCAATTCAAAACTCTGTGATTTAATACTATCTACTGCTGACTGGGATTATGTTGAGCTAAATGTTATGTGTTTGATTTATGAACCCTAAAATTGGTCTCTGCATTTCAGACTTCCAATTGGTCGCAGTTTCATCCTGAGCTTATTTTTAATGTCTTTGTATTTGGGGTGTTTCCGTTTTAAGAAACAAGATTTATTCTCTCTATATGTAAGCATTAAAATTATTTTCCCTTATTACAGTCACAGTCACAGGTTGCTCTTACTGTTGTGAACTCATACCGGCAATAAACCTGCTGTTTATGATATAGATTTAGCCAATAGCACTTGTATTATTTTGATTGAAACCACATGTGCAAATTTCTGCAAGACTGGCTGACTTTTTACTGCCTGTCTAATAATGTTTTTTTTTTCCTGTCGGTGCACTTACTGTATAGGTACATTGTGTATATTTATGAAGAACTGCAGTTTGTCCTGTCTCTTTATTTTTCTTGGGGTAACCCCCAGGTGGAATGGTATCATTTTGTCTGTCCTGCTTTGTGGCCACGAGGAGCCTGTGTTGGTGTTCATGCCATTGACCCGAACAGTAATATGTTTTTGTGACTTTTTTTGTTCCTTTTTAGTTTTTGTTCCAGCAACTGGGAATGCTGGTGTGCTTTGTGAAAATACACATCAGGCCCTACATGGATGACATCTTCACCCTCATCAGAGTGAGTATCATTCAATTCATGAAAATTTATCTCTTTTGCAAGAACATAAGAAGGTTCCAAACAATAAGGAGAGGGTATTGGCTTCAGCAAAAATGGTTGTGGCTTGTATACAATCATTATTATTATTTTTAGTAGTATGCTAGTAGTAGTTGTATTATTAGTATTATTAATAATAGTACAGTCTTACACTTGCATAGCACTTTTCTGGACGCTCCACTCAAAGTGCTTCCAGGGTATTGGGGACACTTCTCCACCACCACCAATGTGGTGCCACTACACTCCCCACACACCAGCTGGGGAGGAGAGCAGAGTGACGAAGCCAGTTCAGAGATGGGGATTACGAGGAGGCCATGATTGGAAAAGGCCAGGGGGAAATTTTGAATTGGACGCCAGGGTAATACCTCTACTTTTTTTGAGAAGCACTCCGGGGTTTTCAATAACCAGAGAGAATCAGCAACTCGGTTTCAGGTCAAACTGGAGGTTCAGCGCCTTTTTTACAGTACACTGTCCCCATCGCTATACTGTGCATTAGGACCCACACAGACCACAGGGTTGAGCACCTACTGGTCCCATTAACACCTCTTCCAGCACCAACCTTAGCTTTCCCAGGAGGTCTAAATAAACGTATATTGTTTTGAATACATTTTTTATAAATGTTTAAATAAGGTACTAAGGAAGACGTATCCGAAAACATATATGTCTGTATGCTGTAGCTCTTTCATGTACAAAATTGAGTGTTCAACTTCCCTCAGTAATTAGTAAGGCCTCTATTTATAAGCAGCCCTGAACAAAAGTTCTTTCTGAAGGTAATATGGAAAAGTATTTATTTGATGCTTTTTAAACCCGCTTTGGCAGGAACATCCGACTCGCTGGGAAAAAAAGAAAGAGTTTGACTGTTCCTGTTTCAGTGCAGAGTGATTTATAATAAAAAATGCAAGCGTAACAGTATCTGAGCCCGAGTGGGAATCAAACAAAGGACCCTTTGTTTTGTTTACTGTCTCCCGAATGTGTTCAGACTGAAAAGGGAATAACGTTTCGATACTGTCATCGCAGAAGAATGCACTGGCTGCTCTTCTCGGTAGACTGAGTGGTCCCAGAGTTGGAATGCAAGGCCTGGTGCAGTAGCCAATGACAGAATACCCCCAAGAGCTGATGCAGTGAAATCAATATTGAATTTTAAGTAGCATCTGGGTAGCCTTGTCCTACTAACGCTTAAGAAACAGAACAGGAGGAAAAGACCCTTCTTCTGCTTTGGCATGTGCCCATGTGGTGGGGTGTCGTGTAATAGCCAATAAAGCTTCACCCCTGGGAAACATCTGGGAGAGAACTTCCTTTATTGTAACAGCTGCTTACTGTAGATGAGTGTTATCAAATTTAGTCATAAAGGCAGCATTGTACTGCCTGACTTATTTCAAGATTATACGTCAACACCTGGGTTAGCCAAGTCACTAATACAAGCCATAGAGATGTTGTTGTCTTGGGTATCAAACACTTAGGCTTCAGCCAATGAATTCAGATTGCCACAGTTGCAGAATCTCCATCTTGAGTAAGCTCCATTCTGCTGTCTCTGTGTATGAAAGCTGGAGGAGAAAAGAAATGTCTTGCTAACAACACGAGTGAAAATACAAAATGGCAGTCAAGATGAGGCTAATCTCCTTCTCCAGTGCATGAGTCTTCTTATATTACAACATCATGTATATAGAGAAGTGCAAAAATAACTTTCCAGCAGCCATCTGCTCTTTTACCTACCTTGCAGTTCCTATCAAGAAGGATTTTGCGGTCTTGATGTGTCTGAAATCACTGGGGTCCAGAGACGTTTTTATGTCGTATTTATGTTAGTTTAAGACTGTCCAATCCTGGTCTTAGGGGACAGGAGTGTCTGCAGGTCTTTTAGCTCTTTTCTCTGTAGCAGCACCTGAAGAGCTAGAGGGAGCTGAGTAATGAGTTAATGATTAATTCATTGTCAATTCCCATAGCCAACTGAGGTGTTGTTAAGAGGTACAGTGAAAACATGCAGAGACCTGTGCGGTCCAGGACATTCCTGCCCCCGATGTTGTCCATTGCTTGATGCTCATTTTAACCCACCAGGAGTACTGGACCCCAAACAACCCCATGCAGAACACCATCATCCTGCTGATCGAGCAGATCGTGGTGGCCCTGGGAGGGGAGTTCAAGCTGTATCTGCCCCAGCTCATCCCTCACATGCTGAGGGTCTTCATGCATGACAACAGCACGGGCCGCAGCGTCACCATCAAGGTAAGGGGGGCGCTGCTGGAGGTTCGCTTTAGAGCTGCAGCGGGACATTGACACCAGTTACTGTTCTTAGCAAGGTGCACACAGCCGGTCCTGCAAAAGAAGTGCACAGGCCTGAATGCAATGGGTCATATGTTGCTACTGGAAAGGAGTATCTTGTATGTCAAGCAAAGGACTGATACACTCTTGGCTGTAGAGTGAATGACACCTTGGTTCTTATGCTTTTTGGCAGTTATTAATCGCCTATTATCATAATGGATCTTACCAGTTCTGGTAATGTGTCCCAGCTTCACTTTTGATGTCGGAGTGGTTTAAGCATGGCACTAATGCAGTCGAGGATGTCTTCTTCAAAAGTGATTGTGGGCTACTGCACGCGGTCGAGTAGGGACTGGCCATCACTGCGAAGTACTTAACACAGAGACGTTTAAGTCTTGGTTGTGTTAAAGCCATGGAACAGGGTTACCTTGGGCTAAAAATCTCTGTCATACCGGCTGATGGCTCATAATATAATGTAGACAATATTTTTTAAATACTTCATTTAAAGGTGAGCAGCACTGAGGTGTTATTAATGAATATTCTGTGGTAGAATAATACTTACTTGCCTGTAAATAGTGCCTTACAAGTTGGGGGTGGGGGATACCCATTCACCACTGAAATTCTCTTCCCGCATTCTTCCCCCACAGTCCCACCACACAGCACAGGTGCAGGAGAGAAGGATGCTTTAGGGAGGCCAGTATAAATGAGCCCAGAGTGGGAATTAGACCAGATTCTGGGGTTAATAGGAAAACTCTAAGGAGCTTGATAAACCAACAGTCCAGACAGTTTAATGTCTCATCTGAAGGCAAGCCCTTTCTTTGTCATGATGTCTTTGGTCTGGAAATTATAAGTCAGAGGGAAGAGTGCCCCCTACTGCTCTACAACAGCATTTGCAGCAGCATCCTAGCTTTCTGGGAGATCTTCCACCGTGATACAGACCAGGCTTAGCCTTGCTTCTGAAATCTGATGATATCAGGCTACAAGGTTGTAAGGCCCCTACTCAATGTATATATATATATTTCACAGATTTTAGATTAAAAAATGACCTGTGGCAGTTGCAGACAGATGGGAGGCAGATCATAAGAGAATGAGTTGTAAAAGTGATGGACACAACATTTCTCCCAACTGCTTTTTTTGGTACCGATTAAGATATTCAATGCAAACTGCTTTTATAGGTGTCTCATTTTCTGGCTCCGTTGCAGCTCATAAAATATATCTAGAGAAATATTTTGCACATCAAAGAGCAAAAGAAAATTCGGCGTGTCCCACAGCTCGTTAATCATGAGCGAGTGGTGGGCAGGTCCCAGTACAAAGCAGAGGGCATGGAACCAGAAGCAAATGTGAATTTTTCATTTGAACAGAATTACATTATTCACTGGTGCAATATGAAATGTTTTTCTCCGGTATATGATATTCTATATCTACGAAAATACAGCTGCTGCCTGAAAACGATACCTAAGTACTTTTTGAACCTGTGGCAAGGAGTCTGTGGGATTTCATACCGAAGTGCAGTAGAACGGATGGACAAGCTTAAGTCAACTTCCAGCTGAAGGGTTTTTTTTTTGTAGGAAGAAGGAACAATTTCTTTTTTTTTTCTTGACAAGAAACAGAGCATATTTATTAGTTGAGCCTTCTCTGGCAGGAATCAGCCAGATTGGCCAGAAGGGGAAGGGAGGCCATGTGTCACACATGATCTGAGGGTGAGACGAGCGAGTGAACCGACAGATAGCTTCCACTTGTCTTGCGCTTACAGTGCTGGGGGAGCTGGAGTGAACGGTTAAATCCGTGGCTTTGTACTTGGTAAAAATGCTTTTCTTTCAGGTGGGAAAAAAATAAGTTGGAAGTTTGATCATAGCAGACGATCCAGGTGAAGGGAAAAATCTTATTTTTTATGGCTTTTCATGATAAAAAAAACAGGTAGTTGCTCACCCAGATGGCATTCTTGAATACCTTCCAGATGGGGGAGAAGTGTTACAGCTGTCTTGTGTCTGATGGGGTCTTTCTCTCTGCAGTTGCTCAATGCTATTCAGCTGTTTGGTGCCAACCTGGATGATTACCTCCACCTTCTCCTGCCCCCCATTGTGAAGCTGTTTGATGCCCAGGATGTGCCCCTGCAGGCTCGCAAGTCAGTGAACACTTGAAGCACGTCAAGGGCTTGACAACACTGTTGCAGAGTTAGGGGCTCTGTGCTCCTGACCAGAGGGTTGCAGGTTCAAATCCCAGGGGCAGGGGGCATGGCTGCTTTGTGCTTGAGCTAGGTGCCTTTCCCAGATTGATCCAGCAAACCCATGCAAAAAGTTTATTTTATGCAAAAAGCAAGTAGTTGCAACCTCTGAGTTTACTATGGATGAAAGTGCAAACTTTATAAATATTCTGTATTATTTTTAAGGGGAATTGTTAGACCCACCCCAACCCTTCACCTTCTTAGCTGCATCACTAGGACAAAATCTATATTTGTTCTGAAATGTTTCTTTCTATTTTTGCCTTTGTCCGTGTTTGCTGAAGACCCTGTTGTGTCCTGTGGAGAACTCAAGGAAGAAGCTGATGCACATTTTGTTTTGTTTTTTGCTTATCTCCTGAGATTCTATGGCAGTAACACGTGCAAAATATATTTTTCAACCAATTAAAATAATCTCCCACACCTTTCCATATCATGCCAGTTAAAAAACGACATTTTTCGCAAGAATAAATTTCTGTAAAAAAGGATTGAAGAGTTCTCACATGTAGCTGATTATACTTTGACTCCAGCCTTGCTTAAACTCCAAGATCTGATGAGATCAGGTTACAAGGCGGTAAGGCTGGTGTAGAAGTAGCTAATCATTTGTAAACTGATGATGGATCATCTTTTTTATTCAATTTAGGCCTAAGAGTGGTGAGTATGGCCTTTGAAGTTTTAACAAGGCCATGTCTTTATTTCCTCCTCAGGGTTGCTCTGGAGACCCTGGACAGGCTGACGGAGTCTCTAGACTTCACGGATTACGCCTCCAGGATTATCCATCCGATTGTGCGGACACTGGATGGAACACCTGAACTACGCAACACCTCCATGGACACCCTGTCCTCCCTGGTGTTCCAGCTGGGCAAAAAGGTATGTGGGTCGCAGAGCCACCGGGCAAGGCTGTCCAGAGACCTTGCAGTTCACTTTTTCTCTCGTGCGGTCTGACAGGAGCCAGCCAGGCTTATTTTCTGTGCCCCTTCACCCTGGAGCGAAGTAAGGGTACAGTTCACAATACGACCGTCTTCCTCGCTGGATTGTGAGTGGAAGTGCTTAATGCTAGTTTTTTCTTTTTTAAACAAAAGGTCGGAGACAGTCTTTAACTTTGAGGAATTGCTTTTAAGCCCCTATCTTCAGTGTAACAGTAAAGAAAATAGACGTCATCTCTGGGCTGCCTACCCACCAGCACTTCAAGAAGTGTTGCTAGCCCACATCTTCATTAAACCTACCTCATGCCATTCTTACTGAATGGGATAAAGGCCGACCAAGTCATGATTTCACCACATGTGGCTGGTATGAGTGCGGAGAAAATCAGCCCATTAGAAATCAATGATATCACTTTCTTCCTCGCCAGAGAGAAAAGAACAAGCCTCCAGCCCAGACACGTGCAGTCTGGGCCGCCTGTGGGCTGGGAGTCCCTGGCTCCTGTCAAGCAGCAGGGCAGGGGCTTCGCTATGAGATGCCATTCTAATTTATTCGCATGGATGCTCTGATTTATTCATGCGCCGATGCAGTTTTCCACAGTTTTTTTTCAGCTGCTTTTCCAAGCTTCTTGAAAGTGCGCCTCACAGTGTGCCGTAAAAAAAAAACAACAAAACCAAAAACAAGGCCATGTTTCCTTCCATGCACATTGTCTGTTTTTTTTTTCCCCATCAGTACCAAATCTTCATTCCCATGGTGAACAAAGTGATGTTGAAACACAGAATCAATCACCAGCGGTACGACGTTCTCATCTGTCGTATAGTCAAGGTGGGTGCTCTCTCTGGCCGGGGCTCCGCAGGAAAGCGGGCAGTAGCGTAGCGGGAACCCTCGTTTTCATCACTGATGACCTCTCCAGGATAAGACACAGGAGTCCATCCCTGCTGTGTGAGAGAGATGTCTCCAATCCTGGCTCTGGACACCCACATACCTGCTGGTTTTTCTTCCACCTGAGCACACAAGTAATCGAACCCTTCGTAGACCTGATAAGAGGTTTAATTGGAACTCCCTGATTTGGTCTCAGTTCCTAAACGTGTAGGAGATTACGTTTCAGCTGCGGGTTTTTGAACGGAACTTGCAATGTGCAAGCCTTTCAGTGGAAACAAAAACTTGCAAAGGTCCTCACCAGCCAACTGGTCACTTCAGTTTGGGGTTCACTGAAGAAAGGAGCTCAGCAGGTTTGGGGGTTCCCAGGACCAGGACTAGCCTAGACCCAACACTTTGGTTCTTTCAGCCTTCATTATTCATGATTAGAAGGTTCTGTAACCATGATCTGGACCTTTACTGTTATTTCTTGTTTCCCTGGGTGATTGGTGCACACAGGTGTAAGGTGATTTAAAGCAGTGTTATTTCAACCAACCTTGTACCAGGGACCAGCTCCCACTACTATCCCTTTTCCTCACAGGACCACTTACACTACAAATTGGCCAGTTTAATTCACAGAGTAAATAGGAAAGCTACTCACAGTTATCTCAGGGATCAGTCAGCATTCCTTCAAGAGCTCGTCAGTGGAGCAGGGGTTGGGACACATGGATATAAATCCCAATTAAAGGGGTGAAGGAGCACCCCGCTCTGTGGGAAACCTTAGCCGAAATAAGAGTAAGAGAGGTATAAACATGGCACAACCACGTGAAAAATGCCACCTAACCTCACCAGGGCAGACTCTCAGAAGGGCGCGGACCTGTCCATGTTGTGCGGCGTCAGCCAGCACACGAGGTGTGAAGTGTGTGTGATGTGTTGCTCGTAGGGCTACACCTTAGCAGAAGAGGAGGAAGATCCCCTAATTTTCCAGCACCGGCAGCAGAGGGGCAACCAGGGAGACACATTGGTCAGCGGGCCTGTGGAAACCGGGCCTATGAGGAAACTGCATGTCAGCACGTCTGCCTTGCAGAAGGTCAGTGCTTCCTCACTCTGCTGTTGAAAATATTGGCCAGTTTTGAATTTCACATTGTTTGGTGATGTGAATGTTGTTTTACATGACGACTCTTGCTTCGGCTTTGTTTGTATCAGTTATATATAAGTACTCAAAAGCAAGCTCTGGCTGGAGCCTGATGAAAAGGATTAGGGGCTTTTAAATACTAGGAAATTAGTATAGCAATTTAACTAATTGGAACATATCGTAGGAGTTGTTGTTTGCTTGTCAGAAAATGATTTTGTTCATTACGTTAAAACACAATAAACTAAAATGAATTTAATTTGTTGCCCAACCAAAAAACTATGGTGAAAATGCAGACCACTAAAATTAATTGTTCCTTATATCCGCTTCAATGTAAATTGGCCCAGAAGTTTACAAAGGCTTATATATCTTCTTTCTGTTGCCAGGGATATCGCCTGTATACATCAACACAGCTGTTTAGTGCTTAGACAATCTATTTTAAGTAGAATGTTTTGAAGCAGTGCCTTGAGAATGGTTATTATGAGCAGCTATATCATTAGGTTTTTTAAGCATCATCCTGACAATTAATTGGACCCATTCCAGAGCGACTATAGAAGCAACAGATAAACAGTAGAAAACATGCTGTATACACTGCAACTAAACTCCAGAAGTACTAGCACCCTGAGAATATTCTCATTAGTTTGCTGCTGTGGAAATTGTCACAGTTTCATCAGCATTTGGTTTCGTACAGAAAGCCTGGTTAATGGAAGGTGAAAGCTCATCAGCTGTGGCCAGGCACACAAAAGTAAGATAAAGTACCAGCATCAATCTTAGTGACATCTGTGACATTCCTGACAGCTGGTCCTTATTTTACTTGAGCAGTTGGCAGTATCCAAATTGTTTTAAGTCTCGCAGCCTGTTTGTATTTTCACTTGCGTTTGATGCCTTCTACCGCCAGCTGAGACTAAGGAAAGGATAAATTAAAAAAAGCCAATGACTGAAAACCTTAAAACATGTTTTATTAAACTTGACGAGGGACATGCTCAAGCGCTCGTTAGCGGTCGCTGGGTCTTATTGAAGACCCCGTCATGTGTTGCTGGAGGTCGCCGACGAGCAGGAGGATGGTGAAGGGGAGTGTACGATCCCCACTGGGAAAGAGCGGAGCCTGCAATGTGCGTTTCGTCTTTGAACGTGGGGCCTTGGCGGTGACTCTCGGTGACTCGGCGGGCTCTCCGAGAGATGCCGCCTAGTTTTCTACGCAATAGCTCTTAATCTGTTCAACGCATCCTGCTGTTTGTCTCCCTGCCGCTGGCTGGGGTCTAGAACCTCCTAGATAGTGATTTGATCATCTCCTCCTCGCTCCCAGCAGCAGCCTGACCCTGGTCACATTGACTTTACTCCAGCCTCAAGAATTCGGTGTCCGTTGCTTTAGAGGTCCAATTAATTTCAAGACTGAATTAACCCAGGCGTAGTACTTATTGTTGTCCCTTGCTCCTCCTGCTTTAAATAAAAGACCGCGGAGGTGTTTCAGGTCGCTGGGCCACGCTGTGGTCCAGTTTAGTTCCCCCCTCTGTCCCCTCAGGCCAGGATAGGTCCTCCATGCTCTTCTGGAAGGAGCTCCAAGCACGCTTGATATTACAGCTAAGCCTGTCTGCCGCTCTGTTAGGATAGAGAAGGCAGCAGGAGAGGAAAACCCTGACTGATTTTGTTTATCTGGGGTGGCGGGTGGTTTCAGGCATGGGGGGCTGCCAGGAAGGTGTCCAAGGATGACTGGCTGGAGTGGCTTCGGCGGCTGAGTGTGGTCCTGCTGAAGGAGTCCTCCTCCCCAGCTCTGCGCTCCTGCTGGTCGCTGGCTCAGACCTACATCCCTCTGGCCAGGTAAGCGCCTGAGCCTAATCCCCAACTATGAACTGGCTTCATCACTCTGCTCTCCTCCCCACTGAGAGCTGGTGTGTTTGTGAACGTACTGGTGCACTATGGCTGCTGTCGCATCATCCAGGTGGGGCTGCACACTGGTGGTGGTGGAGGGGATCCCCATTGCTTTACTGTAATGATTTCCAGTTTCCTTTTTGTTCATGGCTTTCAGCTGGACATACGGTATGCTGTATAAATCCAAGGTTTCTTTGAGGGGGGTGAGACCCTGCCACTGAGCTAGCTAAGCTCCTGAAGATCTGTTTACGATTGTAGACGGGTGATGCTGTCGGTGAGGGATGTGCCTCTCCTCCAGGTGGCGCTGACCCTCTTGCTCAGGGCTGTGTTGCCTGTGACGCTGTCAGAAGACAAGCAGCTGGAAGATGCAGAGCTCAGAAAAAAAACTTGAATGGGCGATTCTAGAATGAATGTATGCTGGATCTCACCCTCAATAGCTGGTCTTTATCTATGGTTTAAAGTATAAAACCATCATGGATTATTCAGATTTTTTTGATCTTGTTTTAATCATCAACACCTTTGAAAAGTGTGTGAAAGTGGCTCAGTTCTGTAAATGGGCAGCACAGGTCATTAAGGCCATGGAGATTGGATAGGTCCTCCATGCCCTTCTGGAAGAAGAACGTGCAGAAGCGTCTGGCACTGGAGATGTGCACCACTGCGCTCACCCCTGCCCGTCTCTCCCCGGCAGGGACCTGTTCAACGCAGCCTTCCTGTCGTGCTGGTCGGAGCTGAGCGAGGACCAGCAGGACGAGCTGATCCGCAGCATCGAGCTGGCCCTCACCTCGCAGGACATCGCCGAGGTCACGCAGACGCTCCTCAACCTGGCCGAGTTCATGGAGCACAGCGACAAGGTGACCGCCGTGGCCCTCGCCCGAGAGCCGTCAGAGTGTCTGGGCTCCGCAGAGAGTACCAGCGGATTGTGACCGCCACATGCAGTGTCTTCAGCCCCGGTCCAGCTGATCAGACTGTCCACGCCCTATCAGCTGTTGATGAACCAAACAAGCCATCTCTTCGATTATAGAATTATTGATGAAGAGGACTCAAATTTTAGTCTCATATTATTTCTAAGTGACTTAAATTGACGAATCACCTGTTTAATTGGTCGCAGTGGAAGCATCCTTTTCTTCCCACTTCGTCCGAGTCAGGGTCTCGGGGGAGCCAGTGCCTGTCGCAAGGCGGGGTACACCCTGGACGGCCCGGTCCATCTCGGGGCACGCCCACCCCGGGGCCAGTGTTTCCAGAAGCAAATGAGTGTTCCCTCATGTGTTTGGGCTGTGGGAGGAAACTGGAGCCCCCACACATGCGTTCCTTTCCCCAGAAATAGATGGATTGTAGTTTGAATTTGGTCATGGTGTTTTTTTCTTTTAATGACTCCTTTCAAATATTGTACAAAAGGTAAAAGATCTTCAGTTTTCTCAAGATCTTTCCCAGCGCGAGCGCCTGTCACACTTTCTCAGACACTCCAGTCCTGCATGTTCTTGACTTGTAAACACTGTGGTTTATGGGGCTTCTTTATTGGCGGGCAAGCAATTCATAATAAGCCCTGCAGCATCTAATTAAAAAAAGAAATGTGTATTTTTAGAGTCAGGTTTCTCTAGAGTATGGTAATAAGAGGAAAGACATGAGAGTGCTCTTTCAGTACTCTTTACAAATGAGTTATTTTGGTTAGTCTTAAAACTCACAAAAGACATGCATAAGACCTTCTGATAGAAACCATTTATTGAAAATGCCACATCACTGAAATGCTCTTTGAAAACTGTTCAAGACGCAAAATAAAAAGTGGTTTATTAAACTTAACTCTGTGAAAAAAAAATTGCTTACAGCTGACATGCATATTTCTTTCCTCAAATGCTCAGCCAAATGGCTTGTCAGCCTCAGTGTGCTTTTTTTCCCGACAAGCCACATATCCGCACCTTAATTATTTGTTCAGTGGAATCAACCGCCTGGCTTAAACTGGGAAACAAGTGACAAATTCCTTTGTGATTTGGGAAATGACTAGTTCAGTCATTAAATTCGTTCATGCTGGCATTGAGGTACATTTACAAATGATATCTGTTCATATACTGTACATACGTGGGTCAATTTTACTTTCCATTGTTACCTGGCACTGTTTTATGTTACATGCAATGAATACTTTCTAGCACAATAAGGCTTTAGTAACCGTTGAGGATAAAGTGCAGTTACTTATTTATTTGTAATGGAAGAATCCAAACAGATTATAGAACCTGGATATACTATCCAGGAAAGACAGGTAGCACGAGTTGCTTAGTACTGGTCTTTATTTGGTCAGTGTTGCAATTTTAACAAGTCAAGATGATTTAAACTGCACCGAGAACCTAGAAGGTTTAATTGCATTAAAATGTTTTATCAGATGGCAGGCAAACCTATCTCTACGCAAAAGTATCTCTACCGTACGTCAGTGTAACCGCACTGACTTGGTATCGTTCACACCCAGTCGGAGCCAGCTGGTGTCCAGGGAGCAGGACTGCAGGAGGAGCCCGGGCAGGGAGTGGTGCGGGCTGTAGCAGGGGAGGAAGGGTAGCGTGGGAAGACCGACCGAGCCTCTGACCTCTGTCCCGTGCAGGGCCCGCTGCCGCTGAGGGACGACAATGGCATCGTGCTCCTGGGGGAGAGGGCAGCCAAGTGCCGTGCCTACGCCAAGGCCCTGCACTACAAGGAGCTGGAGTTCCAGAAGGGCCCGTCGCCCCTCATCCTGGAGTCCCTCATCAGGTAAGGGGCGGGGATGTGAGGTGTCGCTCTCCCGGGAGAGGCGGGCAGTTCGGAGGAAGCTCAGCCTGCGTTCCAGTCTGTTTGGTTGTTCCGAGCTGGTAGATCCGGGGAAACGTCTTTCCTGAAGGAGCTGAGGGGAATGGAGGAGGGAGGGCTTCCTGATTTCTGTCTGAGCAAGGCTGGGGGATCTTTTTGCGAAAATGGACGAGGCTGCAATTATAAACCATGCCCTGTGGGGGCAGAAGGGGCCTTTCTGAAGGGAATGGTGGGGCCTTTTTAGCCCTGCCCGCAGTTCTCTCTGGGCTTGTGCGGCTCGGTCTGGAGGGCTGCCCTGTGCCCGTCAGGAGGAGCCGGGGGTCATTGGCACTTGTGGTTTGGAATCTTAGCCGTGGGCATGCAATCGCTTTCATGTCTCACTTGAGCTCTGTAGTCCTCCATCACAGACAAAAAACTCAACGATGTGTATACTTCACCAGAACGGACAAGTGTTGACGGGCTTTCATGGAAGTTTTGAAATGTGCCAATCTTTCCAATGGTGATAACTGACCCCACTGTTCTCCTATCGTATGAGCGCAGAGCTGGCTGTGAAATCCCTTACAAATGTATTTTACCTAGATTTCAGTTACAAGCCCTGTGATCCATACTTCTCCAATATTAGCTTTTAAAGCACTTAATTGAATGATTTTCACAATGTCTTTAAACCATCCGAAGCTTAAGATGGGAGGTGAAGGTTTAAATTGGCCCAGCTATGCCTTAAGCAGTAGTGTTTGTTCTCGTACATGAAGGCCTTTATCCCTGGTTCCCTGCCGATTTCAGTGTCAAATCAAGCACAGCGCAGATGAGGCACTTCATGTGCTGCCTCCTGGGCTTCCATGGGTGTTTTGGGCTAGGGGTAGATGGGGGATTTCTGTGCTGCTGTTACTACCCACTGTTGCCCTGTAGCCTGGGGGATCTGTGTGCCCGGGCAGATCCATGTGGTTTTGTTCAGCAGCTGATTGGCGTGCTCTTTCGGAGTGTGAAGTAGTCTTGGCCTGCTGTCACAGCCCTCGCTTTTTTCGAGGAAAGCAGAACTCGCAGCCCTCACCTGCTGGCACCACTTCTGCCAGGCGACGTGACTTGGCAGAGCGGTGTTCACCCCCCCCAACAATGTGGAGTCGGACAGGTGCAGAATCCAACAAATGAGCTCAGGTCCCCACAAGCCAATTCGATACCCAGACAAGAGGTAATGAAAAGGGAGCAGGCATTCCAAATTAAAAGTAAAATGCTAAATTGTACCGTCGGATAATTCGTCCCCAATCTCCAGAGCCATAAAGCAGCTAATTGTTAAGTGTCTGCACACCAGGTGTAACAACACTGAAGCTGTTGGGTACACTGTTTGTTTGCTGTGGAAACCTCAATTAGAACTCACGAAATGACTAGTTCTCTCTGTCTGAAAAATTTTATTTTTTTGTTTAATGGTGTTCCATTTTATTTACCAGACAGATTATAAGAGGCTCCAATAGGTAGTTTTACACCTATCATGTACTTATTGAAGTCACTGTGTTCTTCAGCTTCCTCTCTTAGCTACACTGGGTAGCTAACTTGACAAAACCAGGTAAAATCTATAACAGGATCAAAATTTCAGGTGGAAAGTTTTTCGATTTTCTTTAAATAATGTCAGTGTGCCCTCAGAAGTTAGTCGGTGGTAGCCCCGTTGTTGTCACCTCCTTCTGCTCCTCTCCCTCCCTGTGTGTCTTCACAGCTCTGCACGTCTCACATTTAAGAAAAAGACACGTGTATTGTTAATCCTGAGCATGCTCTCATGTCTGGCTCCTTGGTCCCTCAAAGTATGTTTCTGATTTCTCTGATCCTTAATCAGACCCAGAGTTGCTGTGGTTTTAATCTGCCCATCTGGTTTTCACCTCCCTGGGATTTCTGAAAAAGTTCAAATTATTCCGGCTGGAGGTTTCGTGATTCTCTGTGGATCACCCGGCAGTTTCAGGCGGGGGGTAGCAGGGCTCCTGTGGGGTAGGTGTGGTTTTAATTACGACGACCGCAGTTACAGCACCAGTTTACCTCAAAAGATACACAAGAGCGTAAAAAAAAACTGGTCAAACATCTGGTGTCTGTGGTCTTCGTGGATTTGTTGTTGTTTTTTCTTGTTGTTTGGTCACCAAAACAAACCTTGACGATTTTATCGGATTATTTCAGAGATCAGCTGGTTTGAAAAGTACTCGGGGAACGAGCAGTTCTTGAATACAATATAATGCACAAATCTTTTCCTTCTGTTTTTTTTATGTTGAATACATTAACTATGTGAGATCTTTCTGTTGCTTTTTTAAGAGCTGCTAGAATATAGTAACTTGACTAGATATGGTCTAGTGTCATTCATTTTTGAATCCTTTTTAAAATTCAGTAGAATACCCAACGTACATGTGCATATGAATTTAATCCTCTTGTGGTGTTGTCAGATGTAAAGGGTAATAAGCATTTTAGAAAATGAAGACACAGGAGTTGAAGGATGTTGAAGGATGCACAGGAGAAAACCAGTGTTGACTGAGTCTTCCTTGGGACTGGGTGCATCAGAGGATATGAGCAATGAAGAAGCAGGTGGTGTCTTGGCCAGCTGAAGGAGAGTTGAGCCCAGTGATTGGTTTTGTAGGGCTGGTCAGCTTGGTTGTGCATGTGGCTTGATTGTTTATTAGCAAACAAGTTGAAAATGGTTTTACATATTCTTCTGAAGTTGATCTTAATCTGGTGAGTTGCATTGCCTGGTTGCATTTAGTTTTTTCCACGTGCTGTTTTTCTTCTGAGGTGAACTACCAGCGAACCTTGCTGTGCCTCCAGCCTGTTTTGTCATCCCTTAAAATGCCTTGTTTGTTTTGTTCTAAACCCGGAAGCAGATATCCGTAGCACTCTCGGAATCCATACCTTCAGTGTTATTGCGTTGGGTACATCTGCTGACCGTAAATACCTTCAGAACACAGCCAGGCCGCATGAAATGGAATTTCAAATAAACTTTGGTATGCTGGAGATAGCAGCTCTTTACCCAGGAGCTAGTCGAGCTGGTTAAAAATTCAGCAGTAGTCTAGCCCTTTCATGTATGTTGTGTGAGAGGGAATGTTAATGCGGTGTCATGCTGTAATAGCTTCTGTAAGATAATATTTTTTCAATAAAATCACATTTGGTTTCTCTTAAACAGTGAGTGTTGCTTTTCCCTAAACGCAGTAAGAAAACAGCCTTCGCTCACCCTGCGCATGAATGAGGAAGCCAGTTGCCTGCTAGCGTTTCAGCATGTTGTTTACCTGGGTTAAGTACAGCAGTTGAGTTAGTGGTCCAAACCAGGGAAAGATGTCAAATCTAGATTTCAAGGTTGTCATGTTAGCAGCATTGTACTAGCAGAATAAAGTTGTTTCCGCTTTGACATGGATTTATCCCTCCATCTTTATCCATACAGGGTTTTGAGGGAGCCAGCGCCTGTCCCAGCAAACTAACAGGCGGAAGGCAGGGTACATTCTGAGCAGGATACCAGTCCATCACAGGGCACACACAGATACATGCCAGGGCCAGGTTTCCATGAAACCAGTTCACGTACTGGTATGTCTTTGGGCTATGGGAGGAATCCCTCACAAGTTCAGGGAGAACCAACTAAGGTCATGCAGACAGCACCCCAGGGCTGACCACTGGGCCCCAGTCCAGCCTTTTTGAAATGTATTTGTGCATTGAAATGGTGCCCATGATATTTTGCAGTTAGAGTAATTAAAATGATACAGATTTTGTTATCAAGGCAAGGTAGCTTTGGGAATGGGGAGTTCCATTGTGTCTCATCACTGCCACAAATTAGGGGGAAAATTTAAGGGACCGTTAAACAGAGGAGGTTGGGGCAGGTGAGGTGGAGGATTACTCATGCTAAAAGCTCTCATACATATGAATAAACCATATGTCTAAAGGGCCTAGAGATCTTATCACCCTTGTTGGCCAGCTGTGATTGGAACTCTGGTCTTGTAACTGGGAGGTTGCAAGTTCAAATCCCAGGTGTGGCACAGCTGCTGTGCCGATGCTTGGGTACTAATGTAAACTGTTTTGGATGAAGATGTCAGTCAATTGTTGTTGTTATTATTATTATTATTATTATTATTATTATTATTACACTGATATGGCGCTTTTCTGGACGCTCCAGGCACTTTACAAGTCATGGGGACTCCCCCCCCACCAACTCCAATGTGCTGCCCCCACCTCAATGATTAAATTCCTAATAAAACATGTAGCTGTGACTTCAGCCACCCCAGCAATGCAGTTTTCCGGGAGCCCATTATAAACCTTGGAGCTGGGTTCCCTGTGCGGTGCTCCTGGTGTATTTTTATACTTAATAAAATCAAGCTGTAAATACCTCCCATGACAGCATTAGCTTGACTAATGCCCAACACCTGCTGTCTTGGTTCTGGACTGCAGGGCCAACAACAGGAGTTGACTTTTATTTTGGTTTGGTCTTTTTGTCCTGGGTAGGCTTGTGTGTCCCTCATTGAAAGCAACCATTTAAACACAGCGAGGACGGCTGCCATTGCTTTCTTTAAATAGGATAAAATGAGCCCATGGTGGAGAAGTTAATTTGCAACAGGAGCAGGGCTTGTATTCTGTAATAGAGGACTCAGTTCTTAATCCGTTAATTGAGTGGCTTCTTGAGTTTTCCAGGTGTGCAGTAAAACAAGGCTTTGCACATCACAGGAGTGCGAACAGATGGCTTGATGTAGCTTGTCTGTTTTTTTTTCCTACTATTACAAACTGAAAACAACTCTTCGTCAGTTGTCTTCTTGGGTTGCTTTGGGAGCTCGGAGCTTTGAAGGTTTTGATGTGCTTCCCCTTCACTTGTTCTCTTTTCTTATGAAAGTGCTGCTGGAAGAAGCCGAGAGTGATGTTGGTCAGGAAGATCATTTTCTTCAAAAATATGACAGATCACATATCCGCATGTTAATATTCCTTTTCATAACCTAGACTGCTTGATTGAATGAGAAGAATAAAATGAGAAACTCTAGATTTCTAGAAACTCTCATTATAAAAACATGGGCAGGACTTACAAAAAAACGGAGAAGTGCTTTGTATTCTGCTACACATGAATTCTGTGGGTTTGATTTAGATACAAACCTCCAGGCTTTTGTTGTCCACCATAAACCAAAAACTTAAAATGCCAAAAGAGTACTCGGTATTTCAGTCATGACTTTCAATTTTTACAATTTCCTTCTGAATGGACCTGTTATGTTTAGGAAAGTTGAACTTTTGTTTATAAGAGCTGCCAGAATTGGCCAGTGTGCTAAGGCATCGGGTAAGGTTTGCCAAGCGTGGCAGTAGTTTTGACAGTTTTCAAACAACCCTTTGATTAGCGGCTCTGGAAGATGAAGCAGGTTGACCGCAGAGAGCGGGGGGTTCTGTGTGGCCCATGGGGCTCTTGGAGGTTACGCGAGGACACTCTGGCCTGGGAAATGTCCTGGGGATCTTAGCAAGCCTTCTCAGGAAACGTCCTGGCTGGGGTTGTTGACCGTGTCGCCCTGCACAGTGAACACCAGTTACATTCAGGGGCTTAAGGGGATGTCCTGCACAGACGGGCTGAAGGATCTGAACCTTTTTTAGGAACAAGAACGGGTTAATTCCACACCGCAAAGTAGAAAGCAGAAATGCTGTGCTTCGGCTGTTGAGCCTTTTTCAGTGTCATCTCCAGAAATGCACTGCAGAAACAAGCAATGTAACGATGGGAGTCATGTGAAAATACTGGCAAAACACCTTAAAGCACTTTATGGAAGTGCTTTTAAGACTAACAGCAAGAGGCGCTTCTTTACCCAAAGGGTGGTGGGAGTGTGGTGCAAGCTACTAGCCAAGCTGTTGAAGCAGATACCCTGGTATCTTTCCAGAAATGGCTGGATGAGAACTTGCGTTCAATTAGCAACTAACTGAACAGGCTAGATGTGCTGAACGGCCTCTTCTCCTTTGTTAACATTACTCCGCTCTTACAGTATGTTGCCTTCCCCTAAGTTTCTGCTCGTGATTGAAGGGTAAGGAACACTAGGCCTGCGCTCTCTCATCTTTCGTGCAGATAACCTGATATGCTCTTTGAGAAGACAGAAAATAACTGCTTCTAGTGTTCAAATGAGAAGCCTTAAGGTAAAGAAAATAGCCATAAACCAAATCTGGCAGACACAATCATGTAGAATCAAGTTGCTCGGCTTTGCATAGAGCCAGCTGCAGAAGGTTAATTTATATACCAGGTGGCAGAAACCAATGGACAAACTGAACAGTTGCGTTTAGGGAGCTGATGAATAGGTTACAATTCAGCCGTTCATCGGAAAGCAAAGTATTTCTCGTGCAGGTTTCAGGACCTCTGTAGGCAAGCTCTTTAGTATTCCTCCTTAATTAACGCCACATCTTGCCACTGACCCCTCTTCGGCGGGTCTTTTTCCCCAAGAATCCAAGAAAAACAAAAGCCTCTGTCAGATCCCAGATCCCGCCGGGCATTCCTGCACTTCCCCGGCTGAAACAGGGGTGGTGCCGTCTGGAGGAAGTTTGTTTCGGAGTCCCACACAGCGGGTTTTCCCTTTGTCCCTCCGCGGCCCTCGCGCGACGAGGGCTCTGCTGCCATCTGGTCCCCTCCTGAAAGCACGCCGTTACCATCACAATCGGCCAGGTGGCCGCGGGAACCGAGCGGGGCCGCGATTCTCATGTTTAAATTCAGAGGCAGGCTTTGCGCAGGGGGCGCGAGCCGCGGGGACGCGGAGAGGTCAGCACCGCTCAAAAGGCAGGGACGCGCCGCATTGTCAAGTAGAATGGCACATGTGACTTTGAAGCTGCACCAGGGGTCTGCTCATTGTTTCCCTGGCGTTTGTGCTGGCTGCCGATTATGTGCTTTGGGAGATTTTACACCTGCAAAAGAAGAGAACGCCTTTTATCCTGAGCCGTTGTCAGCCCCTGCCACAAGCACCCCTCTGAGGTGTGATATGTGAAAAGGTCTGGGGCAGAGGGGCAAGGGGCAAGTGTCAGATGCGTGGGCAAGGAGCCAGATGTTTAAAAATACAAAGTTTTTCTTTATTCAAATAGAACGTTGCCATATGAAGCTGTACACATTTTACACATTACATATAATTTTTTAGGACAAAATAACAACAACATATTATTACCACAATGTCATTTGTGTATTAGCTTTTCAAAATATAAACACATCTTTACAGAAATCTCAGAATGTCACATTTCCTGTTCATTCCAGTACAGAACCCCTTTGACTGCTGCTTATTTAGAGTATAACATCTCACTTTGTCGCAAGCTGGTAAACAGACCCTTTAATTCTTTCATTCAGTATGCATACATGCGTGTCTGTCATTATTGTTTCCAGATGCGCCAAACGCAGGCGCCATACAACATACCTTACTAACGGACATTTAAAAATAATTTTAAGTACTCTGCATTGCACTGTAAAGCCCAAATATTGTGAGTTTTGTCTCCCACATCTCATCTCCCTAATGAAAAATGGAAGGAGGTAACAGTTTGGTCTTTATTCGATTTTTGAAAGTAAAGTTTCGCTTCAACAGGTTTAGTAAGGAGATACTGACCGATAAGTTACAACCATTCCTTAGTCTCCATACAGGAAACCTGCACATCCAAGTTCAGCTTTCCAACAACCTTATTGAAAAATATAATTAAGATTTTAAAAAGATAAATACTACAACTGCACTACATTTTACAATTATTAACACAATGCACTTTCTATTCCAGGGAGATGTTCCACAACTTAAAAATAAATCACCATTACAGAATAAGCGGCCGTGTTGCTGTTTTTTTGTGCCACACGATTAGATGGTCCCTCTCCTGCGTTTTTTTTTCCTGAAAAGTCTTTAAGGCGAGAAGCTCTGTGGGCGGATCTTCATCTCCACTCGTTTCAGGGAGTAGCTCGAGCCGTGCCAGCCATACCAGGTGATGCCATCGCTGTGCTTGGTGTGGTCGCCGTGGCGATAGAACACCCCGTTCAGGTTGGAGTCGGTGCAGCAGTTGTACCAGTAGCCACCTTGGAGACAAAAACATCAGGGAGTCGGTCACCGTGGTAACTGTGGATGTGTTTTTGCCGGTCTGGAAGCTAATTGGCTATGTGGATGTTCTCCTACTCGGCTACCGTGGGAACAAATTCAGCAAAAAAATTCAGGTGATATTTGCTTATGAGGGTGTCTGCATGAGGCACAACTTTTTATTTAGACCTCAGTACTGCCAGTACCCATTGTGGAGCGAATGTGGACTTTCTAAATCAAATCTGTTTATTCCTCAGTTCTTTTTTGAATTGGGGTCTGTGATTTGTATTCACATTGACTTTCTTGTTCTCGCGCTTTGGCCCATTATTTTACCCAGAGATCTTTTGGAATGAGGTGGGGGGTGGGTGAAGGGGGCTACCTTTGCGCAGCTGGGCGCAGTCGTCCACACACTTGTCGTTGTCCTTGTTCTTGGTGCTGAAGTTGGTGTTGTTGTGGTACCTCAGGGAGTCCCGGCCCGCGTTGCCGCTGTAGTTGGCAACGAAGAGCTTGTAGCTGTTCATTTCGTTGCTGAGCGTGAAGTGGGCGTACTCTGCGTAGCGCGTCTCGCCCTGCCAGTCCTTCAGGAAAGAAGACGAGATATTAGCTTAGCTTAGAATATATTAGCTGAGCACTATGTCTGTCACTCCTAGTGGCCTAAAACTTTTTTTTAAAACAGGCTTTTGTCTTTTTGTGGGATTAAGATCTACTTGTTCCCTGAGACAAATCAGGATGCTATCTGGATGCAGTTGCTCTGATTTGTTTTGCTGCGATGAAATCTGATTTTTAAAATCACTAAAAGGATCTATTCAGCTCTCCAGTCAAGAGCTTAATCATTTCAGGGCAGGGTGAGACATCAGGCTAGGGAACCCGATGGCCAGGTTTGGGATCAGGTAGGGGATACTGCCCTATCCCTAGCGCATTCCAGATCCGTTACCTCCAGTTCGATCCTCAGCACAGTGGGCTGTCTGGTGAGACGGAAAATGTGCTCGTTGCCCAGCCAGAAATCCCCACGGATGGTCCCGAACCCTTCCTTGTACTGCTTCCAGTCCCGGTTGAAAGAGGTCAGCCCCACCTTGCGCCTCTGAATGACTGTCCAGCCCCCCCCTTCGGTGTCCATGTCGCAGTATACCTGCGGAGAACAGGGAGAGTGAGAGGGCGAGGAGCATGTGATGAGCTTCGCACAAGCATCCTTCTTCAGTCTGTTGACTTGCGCACCAAGGCACTGCAGTATTGTAGCTGTTTTGCAGAGGACCAAACACTTTCAACATGTAGGAAATAATTTTGCGTGAGTTTTCCTGGACAAAGCATTTATGGAGCTTCAATTTTGCTTATTACTTTTGGTGTGTCTTTGTCACAGCCAGGTCATGGTTTTTCGCTGTTTTAAATCAGCGGGCCCATATGGGGCAACTTTCTGAAACCCCCCAGGACCCCACGGTTCTCAGCTCGGTGACTCACCTCAAGCTCAGGGGTGCCCAGGAATTCGTCTGCGGGCAGTTTGTACACGCCAGAGATTTTGTAATTCCTGCCGTACAGCGATGAGCAGTCATAGATGGCATCTCGAGGAGAAAAGAAGAGAATTACAGAAAATTATTCAGCGTGAAGTTTTTCAGTAGCAGAAAAGTAATAAGGTGTTAAACGGTGGGGTTTGTCAGCCGGGTGTTTGTTGCAGATGGTGCTTTGTGGAGAACTTATTATATATAGTGCAGCTGAATTGGTTTCAAGTTCTCGCACCAAAGCTGTTAGAACAGCAGATTCTTTAAAGCTGCCACCTAAGGGAAATATTGTAAGTCGATCTCGAAGATTAAACACCTATGTCTCGCACCTCTCCACACCTCTGTGCAGTGAACTGAAATGCCTGTCTGCACTCTGCCCCTGTTGCCTTTGTGTTTGTCCACTCGTTCCCTGAGGCTGGGACCGTCTGGGGCCTTTACATTCTTGAAGTCCATTTAAACTCAAGACAATTCAGAGTGAAGAGTGAAGCACAAAACACAGGGCACCAGTGGAAACGACATGGAAGTGCATTTTAAACCGACAGGAGCTACTTTACACAAAGGGTTGTGGGAGGGTAGAACAAGCTGCCGCACAGCCGTTGGAGCCGATGTTTCTGTCAAGCATCACCTACATGAGGTCATGGGATCAGTTAACCACCAACTCCCCAAACTGGCTGAATGGATCAAATAGCCTCCCCTGGTTAGTGACCCTTCGTTTTCATCACAGGGTGCCATGTGCAGAGATTTGCAGCAAAATGAAACAACAGAAATTCCAGACCCACAGCCTGCTGTACAGTCAGACATGAGATTCAGTAACGCGGCTTCTTCCATGCTGCCATGGGCTCAGTTTAATAGCTGCTTTTCTCTGGGAGATAATTGGTTTGATGAAGCAGGTCTTCAGTGAGAGACATAGGAGATTATTAGTATGGCTGGAAGCTTTGGCACTCCTGCTGTGAAGTTACAAGAAAAGGCAGCATACTGTAATTTGTATTCTGGGCATCTGGGAAGATGAGTCTGGTCCGGTTCCAGCATTTACCACTTGTTGCACACTTGAGGAATGTGCAATATCCGTTAACTGGGACGGAAACATTTAGGCTTCAATATTTTTTTAAATACCAGTGCTGAACTGTGGCATGATTTTTTTGTCTCATTATGTTACAGTAGCAAAAAGGGCATTTTTGCTTCTCAGCGGCTAACACACGAGTTGTGTGGAAGACTCTGGAGCTTTTAAAAGAAATGGGAAAAATTACGTGCCCATTGCAAGTATGTGACTGAAATACCTCTTTGATTTAAAGTTATTATGGCTTTGTACCATTTTTTTGGAAATTACTTTGTACCTTAAACAGCAGATTTGCCTTAAGGCTCCGCTTCTTTGAAACAAACATGTGGCAAAGAATTCTCCAACTCAGGAAGTGCCCTGAGGGATTTTTAAAAGGTGAAACAGAGGAGTTAGTCCAGACTTTTGTCTGAGGGTTCTGACAATTCAGAATTTATTGCCACTAATAATATTATTTTCAGACTCCTCAGGATGGCCGGGTTTCACCTGTGCAACAGGCAGCTGTGTGGAATATGTGTTTTAAGCCCTTAATCATAATGAAGAAAAGCATGTGTGCGCCAGTCTTTCACAGCAACACCTACTGCTGTACCTGCTGCAGTGCCGTCCAGTCCCAGAGACTTGTGTTGTGTTGAAGTACTTTAATGCTTTTAACTTCTGGTGCTCCTTAACACCTCACTTTCATGTTGTTGGTGGCAATAAGCAAAAACGTCACATCATTTGTATGAGCCTGTTTGCTTTCAGGTTCTGCTTTTTACACTACTTAATGCACTTTGACTTTTTAAAATAGGTACAGAAGTTTAGTTTTCAAGTCATTCTACACAGTTATAAATGATTGATATGAGCTCTCTAGCTGTTCAAAATCCGCTAAAAGAACAAAATTCTGATGTTACGTTTTGTTGACGCTTGGTTTTGCTTGATATTCTGGCTCAATGTATATATCGAACACGCTCCTTGTAATGGGGCTAAGCCGCATTTGAATTTTTTGTGGAAAAGAGCTCAACTCGTCATCATTTTTATTCTGTGTGACATAAACCACTAGCCCAGAGCTGTCGGAAACATTTTTGCTGTGCTGTTTGTCAGCAGAGTCTGTGAAACGGTCACGCTGACTCCGTCTAGAATTGGTCGACTGTGCGTGTGTGGTGGGCACGAGTTGGGCGGAGAAGAACGTACCACGAGCTTTTTGCGAATTGCACCCCTCCCCTCGGTTTGATCGGGGACGGGGCGAGTGCGGGCGGGTGTGTATTTCTGCGCGCGGCCCAGGCCGTGGCTGTGGGGTGCCCTGCCCTTACCTGCAGAGGTCTTGGTGACGGCCTGCGCGGCCTGCAGCTGCGTGATGTCCAGCCGGCTGTTGACTTCCGAGTACTTCTCCTCCACCTCCAGGAGGCGCCGCTCGTGCTGCTGCTTGCCCTTCTCCAGCTCGGCCGCCCGGCCCTCCAGGCGCGCCGTCTCGGCCTCGTGCCGCGCGCTCAGCTCGCCCAGCAGGCTGCTCAGGTTGGCCACCTGCACCTTCAGCGCCCGCACGTCCTCGCAGCAGGCCTGCTTCCCGCCGCCGGGCGAGGCCGCCATGCGCCGGGGCTTGTGCTGAGCCTGCGCCCCTGCGCCCCCCAGCAGCAGAGCCAGCGAGCCCCCCAGGAACAGAAAGCGGAAAAGAGCTCGGCTCGGCATCGTGGTTTCGCAAAAACCCAATCAAATTGATTTCAGACGAAAAGCAGTTTCTCTGGTCAGGTTGAAGTTGGAAGTTCCCCTCTCAGCACTGCAGAAGGAAATCAGAAGCTGGGTTCTGGTTGCACAGTGGCAGCGGACCTCTCTGTCCTTGAAACCAGCTGTCTTTGCAAACTCTGCAAGGTCTCTCTCCAGAAAGGGACCTGTTGTAGCATCTTAAATATCTTCACATGTGTGCCCTCCCCTTTCAGCTGAGCGCACACACACTCACACACACACTCGCACACACTCTCTCTCACGTGCTCGTGTGGCTCCACCCAGCCCCTCGCCTCCCATCAGGTGCTGGCCGTCCTCCGAGGGGAGAGAGGTCTCCTAGTGGCTGGGTCAGGAGCTGCCGTGTGTGTGTGTGTGTGTCGGGGACGACTACTCCGTCTGCTCTGCCCGAGACTCTCCACAGGGGTCCTGTTTGATTCCAGTGGGCTGAAAGACCCCTGAAAATAAAAAGAGAGTGTGTGTGCATGCATTTGGCACCCAGCTATTTTTACAGCTGAAACACCTTCTTGATGGTTTTTCTTGATTGTAAAAATCTGAGATGCTAAAGTTATTTAAACCTTATAAGGTATTTTTTCTTTTACTGAGTCTTATTATGTTCCATATGTTTCCGACTGCCAATACCCACTCTTCTGGCCAAATATATGACATGCTTACCTCCTATTTGCAATGAAAGAAACAAGAAAACTTTGCTTCACTGGCTTTGTGCCAGCCATCCTAACTCCAGGGCACTTTTTAGTAGAAAAGCATGGGCTTTATCCCGTTAAACTGTTTTAAAAACATTAGCCACTTTCCACCGTATTTGAGGACATGGCAGAAGGATGCTATTCTAGTTTCGTTTGAGGACTAGTGTAACCCTTTTCCACAGAGCATGCCGGCACAGTGTTTAGCATTGGTGCCTCACAGTGCTGGAGCCCTGGGTTCACTTCCTGGGGTGCTATTTCCTCTGGATGCTCCAGTTTCCTCTCGCGTTAATTGGCTTCTGGGAAAATCAGTCCTGCTGTGAGTGTGTTTGTGTCTGTCTGTGTGTTTGTGTAACGCCCTGCGATGGATGATAGGCTATGGCCGCCCTGTACCCCTGTATTGGGTAAAGCAGAACCCAAGGAAGCTGTGGGTTCAGCACAGGTACAGTGATAGTGTCATGAGCCAAGGCTTGGCTGGGTGATGCAATCAAGCAGGTTTCAGAGGACAGCAGTGTGCAATACTAGTTAGGGCTCTGACTGCCAGGAATGTTGTGGGTTCAAATCCAAGGTGCAGCACTACCCTTGTACTCTGGAGCAAGACACTTGACTCGGATCACTTCGGAAAAGTTCAGTGAAGTACAAATAGTCACTTTAGTGCCAGTCTTAGTCACTTTACAAGGTGTCAGACAGATAAAAAAATAGTAATATAGCAGAATCGTGTTGGTGCTTGTGGCATGAAACTGAATGCAGCCTTTGGCATAGCAGCTAATTCAGTTTTTTTTGCACAGAAGCAGTACTGTGTGGGCTGTTCCCCAAGGTGTCTTTAAATGCTCAGACAGAAAGGCTGAGCGCGTGAAGCATCTTGCAAGTCTGAAGGAATGTGCTTCCTGTTGTGTCATTCCTCATTAAACATGACCCCGTCGTCATTGTGCATGCTGTGCAGACGTCCGACGTTCTTCCTTCACGCGTGTCTCAATGCGGTCAACTCAGGTCTTTATATTCCACCGGGGGCGAACTCCGGGCTGGCTGCCCGCCCAACACACAGTCGATCAGGTGGTCAACTTACACGCGGAGAAGACGTGCATTGGACAGAACACAGATCTTGGCATTTTGCTAACAGACCGTCAGATTTCCACAGTGACATAGTTCACTTAGGGAATCACAGCACTTAATAAAGTGTGCAGTGCTACAGGAGCCAGAATAGTGCAAAAGTGCATCGTCGTAATTGGGATATTACATGAAATTAAATTCAGTGTATAGTAAATAAAATGCTGTAGTCCTGCTAGGCTTTCCTCCACACAACATAACCTCTAAATATTTATGTACTTTAAAAAATTAAGTACTATGTTTACTTTATATTTAGTCATTTCTTATTTCATATTATTTTTTAAATCTACTACTTCTGGACTGGAAAAAAAAGATCCCACATTAGTTCTTGTGTTCTTTTCTTGAGGAATTTTCAGTGTCAGGTTGTTGTTTGAATGGGAGAGAGTCACTTTCCAGCCCTCCTGGTAGAGAATTCCTAGGATGTCAGTGCAGAGGTAATTTAATTCCGGGACAGGAGGCAGGAGTGTATTTCACTTTGTGCCAAAGCTTGTACTTGAGTCTATAGCCTTCCCAGAGTGAAAGGTCAGACTAGGGTCACAGGTCATGTCTTTCACCAGCCAGAGGAGTTAGAAAGGCTCCCATTTTGTCTTTGAACCCATCATTTTAATTTGTCAAGTAAACACAGTGATTTATTTTCTCACCATTCCAGAAATAATCAGCCTCAACCCTCTATAAGGGAATGGTGAAAAGACCCACATGCCGTCTCCTAATGTTTTTGGTTACTAGTAATAGCTTGTAAGAGATTGGCTTTACAGGGCAGCACTACTTAGGGAACCAATCGAAGATGTTATTGCAACATAGGTGTGCTTTATTATCGACATTTGTTTATAGACTTCAAACTTTTCAAATGTCATAGAAAAATTTCACAGGTATAAATTCTTTGCAGTCAGCCAAGAAATATGGTAAATGGGATACAAAACGAGATTTCTGTTGTACTCCGTGAAATATAAATAAGAAGAAATTCAGTAAAATAATTTGAATGGGAAACCTACAAAACTTTAATGGGCGTGATCAGTTTGGCTTGAGACTTAAAAATGTGTATCTTTTTTTTTAAGACAAATGTTAAATGTGTTTCTAACAGACTAGGCATGATTATTAGTGTTTTGTAGTGTGTTTCCTGTGCCCTGTAGCGGAGTGGTCCAGTTGTGGACAGAACAGTTCTGGAAGCTCACAGTCTCAATACTACATTACTAAGATCCACAACAGTTGGTGGCAGGAGTACCACAGGGGGAATTCAGCTCTGGCTGTTTACTCCATCTTACTTTTCTTGTCTCTTTAAACAAATTGACTGCAGCTCAAAACCTAATGGGGTATGGAAGGTTTATCTGAGCCAATAAAGGGTTAATTGGACCAATTAAACCCTTGTTCAGAGGTCAGGAGATCTTGGGGACACAGGTGAAACTGGCGGGGACAAGCAGCTGGATTGCAGTCTTTGAGCTCCCAGCCTCGGATTACCACTCTGTCCCTTGAAACCTGTTCTCAGCTCTTCAGACAGATGGCACCAGGTTCGGTGCAGCACACAGGCTGTCTTCCAGGAGGTAAATGAGCTGCCAGCGCTGGCTGGTTGGCAGAAGTCCCTGTTCAATTTGATATAATTTGCTTTCACCGTGGTCTGTTGATGTTCGGGCTGAATGTGGACGGACTTCAAGTATCTGTTCCCCATCAGCCTTGACCCCTGATAAAATAAAGGTGGGGTTTAATAGTACTTGGAAGCTCTGAATTGCGTTTTTAAAACTTTTTCCCTACTTCTGAAAAATCCAAATGGCGGTGATGCAAGGATAAAAATATTCCATTTGGAATGGCTTTAAGTGCATCAGTTTCCTCAGGTTTGCTTTTCTGGAAGGACATTTTCTTTTCCCTGTCATGGGATTTGCGTTAAATTCCTGTTACACAATGGATTTTTTGTCAAAGCGTATGGTCTGTGTTCAGCACATCCCCTCATCGCACTGCCATGTGTTTTCGCTTTTTGCTCGTTGTGTACCGTCTGGTACTTAATCATCTGTCCTTTAATTGCAAGAGTGATCCGTTTACGTCTCCAAAACAAAAGTACATCACAAAACATTCAAAGAAACCGTGGGCTTTCATTGGATATTGATACAGTTGCCCAGATTTTCTTAGGCAGAGCGACACATGTCATTAATTTGATGTTTTAATTGCATTTTCCATGAGCTGTTGTTGTTATGTAAACAAGGTGTTATGTAAAGACACAATGAGGGACATAGAGTGACTTTCAGGAATGTTACGTGAGTTCACAAGATCCTTCCACGATACAAATCAATGATTGTTTTAATACCTTAGATTGTTTCTGAGTCTTTTGTCAACAGTTCATCACTGAAATAAGGGAAAAAGTCTCTTTTGTGGCCAGTATCCAAACCACAAGCTCTGCTCGTATACCCATGGGGATAAACACATCTATAGAGCAGGGCTACAAAGACATCATTGGTTTATTTCACTTAGATGACAATGTCGCTGGACCACACATCTCCAGGTATGCTGAACCAGAATGTAAGCATAGCGTGTTACCTCATGGAAGGAGGCTGACATCATTCTTGTTGGTTTGTGGCATGCTTTATAGAGAATAAATCTGTCGTAGGGTGATTGGAATAAACAACTCTTAAGCAAGTGTGTAAACGTGGCTATTAGAATATAACTAGTGGCTGTAGTATGGAACAATACTGAATTTTACTTTTAGTTTAAATGTCTTAAGTTGAACATTTGGTACTTTCATTAAATTCTTTGCAAACCCCATAGTGTTGTTAATAAGCTGTTTAAAGTTTGCTTTGGATTTCTAATGGCTTTTTAATGGACATTACCAGAAATATATTGTTTGCATTCTAATCCTGCAACTTCCTGTGTGCAGTTGAAAGGAAAGACTGTTTTCTGGTCCAAATGACCTGTCATCAGAAAATAAGCTTGGTTTTCAAAACAGAAATGTGGGTAGCCATCTCCATGACTAATACATGGTAATAAATCTTCTGCGCATCAAACAAGTTCCTCTCCTCTAATCATTGGACAATGGCAGATGTTGCTAGATTGTTTGATGCAAAACTCCTTCATCGACTTAAACCTTTTTAAGCACGGAAGATGACTTTTTGCTTGTGCCCAGTGTAAATCGGGGGGAGACAGATCTTTCCCTGCAAGTGATTTAAAGACCAACAGTGGAAAGTTGCCTGAGGTTCTTTTCCGAACCTGTGTAACCTTTTCACAGGTATGAGTGCTGGAGTACGGGGGCTGGTGTCCTGGCTCAGTGATGTAATGTGCAGGTGTGGGAAAGCGGGTTGGATCACGTCCACTAAAGACATGAGCCGCCCGTGTGTCTGAAACAGGGACAAGTACAGGTTAATTCCAGGCTGAAAACAGAAGGGAGAG